GATGACACAGCATTCCTCTTCCACGGATGTGAAACAACAGACATTTTCAAAAAGATAAATGCTGTCAAACTTTCTGTCTTTAAAGGCAACAATAATACTGTCTTCATCAGACCAAGCACGCCTACCAATGAGCTGACTGCATTGTTGGGTAACTGCATTGTGAGATAAAGGGGATCCCTGCAGACAATTGTTTATTAAATGCCTAAAATTAATGCTGTGTTGGCTAAATTCTACAACCGGCAACCAAAGAAAGATAGAAGGTTATAGAATGGAGCAAGACAACCCAGCATCCCTTTCTTGAGAGACAAAAGGGTCAACCTAATGGGCAACATTCCACTTCCTCTCTCCAGAGAGCAGGGGGCCCGATTTGCAAAGGATCACTCATCTGCAGGCCCAGACAGCAATGGCCTTTTCTAATTTGTCCCAGGATTTTCATGCGACTCCTGCTTTGAAACATACAGCATAGCAAATAAACAAGTAATGAAGTACTGTCAAGACGAGCAGGAATTTCAAGAACACCTAATCTGTAAAATGACACCTGTCACCAACACATCACCTTAAATAAATACAAGGAAACACACAGGTAATTCTGGCACTGTTGTTACTATGAAATAAATCTATTAAACTGCTTATCCAGTACAGAGCTATACTGTATTATCTTGTATAATCAACATCAGTTAAGATGTGTATTAAGTCATTTCTTTCCCTCACAACTGATTTAACACTATTTTAATCATGTATTTCATTACCATTATGTTAATCATTTTCCAGATGCATAAGCATGTATCAGAATGTTGTTTTCATCCAAACATATATATACACAATGACATACAATCAGATGTCACTTTTTTAGGCCTGGCTGCGTAGCACCAGGTATGAGCCCTCATCTCCAGAGCTGCTTTGGGGACCGATGCATTGTGCAATTGCCATTCTGCACACCACTACTGTGGTGATTTCTGTGTTTGTGACCTAATTGACAAAATGTTTACAAAAACAAACCTGCCTTTGACTGGATGCCTTTTCTCTGTTAAATCAAGAGACTGAAGTACATGAAAATCATGAAAGGTTAGATAAGATCTACCTTATTGATCCCAGGTGGAAATTCTATATACAAATTCTATAAGCGTTCCTAATAAACATGCACAATACGTTAACATGTATCAGCTGATTTACATACACTAGGCATTGCATAATTTTTCCATAAAATTAAATCCATGCTTTTTTGCCATTCACTTAAGTTCAACAGCTACACATTTACTCACACTATAACCTGTGAAGTCAACAATTATATAATACTTGCTATGAATATTTGCTATGCAAATGTTCTGCTGGAAAATAAACTGGAACAGTATTTCGATATATACATGCTTTTTTGTATAATATTCCATTTTTCTATTCTGTCAAAATGGTTTTGATTGTGAAATACTGTACTAATAGTTTTTGCACATTGTTTATTGAAATCTACACTAGACTACTTAATCTGTTTGAAAGAAGTATTTGGTAAGAAAGTGTTGACAGAAAAAAGGAAAAGGAAATACTAGTTGGGTTTTCATAGACAATCATCTACTGTAAGATAAGCATTAGGTTGCTGACATTTTAAAACAGTATTTTTATTGAATAAATGTATGAGGTCCATTGGGGGTGGAATTTTAAGATTTTGCCTGTACAGGTAAGCATTGCATCAGTCGTTTTTTTCTGGGGGGGGGGGGAAATTTCTCCATGAATTTTTCAGTAGTTCAAACACCTGGATTTTGGAAAGATGAAAATAAGGATATGGATAGCCTCCTTACTTTTCAGAAGTAAGCATCATGCCAGGCTTGAGAAGGAATGGTAATGTGTGAAGCAGTTTCTCCATCTGCTGGGTAAGTATGGGAAAAGCTAATTCAGAAAAACTCAAATGCTTGTCTTTTAGAAAGTGCTTTGTTACGTCTGGAAGACCTTAGTTCACCTACCCACACCATGTAAACGATAATAATGGTCAGGGGGAAAAATTCAAACTACAGATCTTTTTTCTTCACTTTACCAGCAGCAGTATCCACTATGCAGGAATCACTAACAATTATGGGCAATCCTATGGGCAACATAGGCAGTTACCTAGGCAGCCATCTTCTGACAGCTAGCCTAGGGCTTTCCAAGGGTACAACATGGGCTTTCATTGTAAAAATCTAGACACCCCTGCAAGAAGAATCCCAGATACTTGTGAGCACCATAGTTGGGGTAATCATATGCGTGTCTGGTTGGGACCTAGGTAAAACGGCGGTGTGACCCCTTGCAACTGGAACACAATGGATCGGTACTTTGTGGTACTTCAGTGCTTCCCAGGGTATTCTACGCACTTCTGTGAAACAAACATGGTTAACCACCACTGAGTACAAATCCGGGTTTTATTACATCGAGTTCAAAGAGTTCAAAGATCCGGCCAAAGAATGACACATAAACACCTCATACTAGAATGTCCGGTTCATGCTGCCAACTTTTCTGTCTGCTGCTCAGTGAGTAAGTCGCAAAAGTTGTTGTGGGAAACACAATGGTATTTTAGGGCTGCTTATTGGATGGGCAGCTCTGAAACAGGGAGTGCAAGTCAAGGTGGATGGTTGGTGCAGTTGGGGAATGCATGTGCACAAACTGAAATGTGCATTAAGATTAGTATTGCAAACTGGTGTATGTATGCGGTATATGTCATGACAGAGGACTTCTTTGATATGTCCTTCATGTTCTTCACTTGCTTGCCAATATTCATGGTGTTCCACTTGGGGGCACTGTGAACGAGACATCATTACCTGAATAAGGACATATACGAAGCATTTATTTAACTAAACTAAGAGTGAATACAAAAAACTTTTGAGGCTTTTCGAAACTGAACAGCAGCACATGTATTGGCCACAAGACCCAGGTTTTAGGCACAATTTTGTAAAGAAAAATAAATCGATTACTTATGCTATCGTATTAAGAAAACTCTACATATAACTATTGTTGTGGCTCTACTGGGCCATGCTACACAACCCAACCCACTTATTACCCATTTCCCCCAGTGTAAAAATGAAACCTACGCCCCTACTCCGAGCTATGTCTCTAAGTGTATGACAGGACGAACTCAGCAATGTAGTAAGTAAGAGCCTCTTATTTTTACTGCTCATGGGTTGTCTGTAGATCAGGGGACTCCAGCTCCGGTCCTGGAGAGCTACTATCCAGTAGGTTTTCTGTCCTACTTGGCTTCTGAGGAGCCACATCTGGCCCTGGTATTTACCTGAGAACAGGTGTGGCTCATCAGAAGCCAGGTAGGATTGAAAACCTACTGGATAGTAGCTCTCCAGGACCGGAGTTGGAGACCGCTGCTGTAGAGTTTTTCTCTTGCTTCTCTAGAATTTGCACTAAGGTTCATTGTTGCGGTCTTTCTCTGCTAGCATTAGTAAACTCTGTGTACTCTGCACTATGGTGTGTCTTAAGATGTTTGATCAAATTGCTTGTGTCAAATGACATGCTGTCCCTTTCGCCTTTTGACACTTTAGCAGAACAGAGCTTACAGTCTGCTTTACTTCTGCCATTGTCCCTTATCTTAAAATATGTCCAAACTGCTGACATCCCTCACGTATACTTGGCAATTGGCCAATGCTGGTCTTGTCATTTATCCTTCCTAAACGTTTCCGGCTGACAAATCGCTCGCAAGACGACAAAATATGATTGGGAAGCAAGAAAAAGAAAGAAAAAATGTCATGACTTTGAGTACAATGTTGCAATTAAGTAGTATCGGTTTCTGGAATCAGAGAATTTTACGAGTACAAGTATGAGTACATGAGTGCAGTATTGGCCTGAAACCCAGTGCTGGTATCAGTGCATCCCTACTCGTTTTAGTGAAATAATACTTATTGACTTTGGAAGCTCATCATAAAAGTGTCATGACAATGGAAAGATTCAGGGCACTGGCATCAGCACTTCGCTTAGAGGACTGCACAACTAGACTGCCTCAGAGGGCACAGGACAAGCTGGTATAGCAGGGGGGATTACACCCCGCCTTGTAGGGGAAAACGGCTGCTATCCTACCCAGGGAGACTAAGTAATGAGAAGATCCGAGTCCCTCACCCCAAGTTCTTTTAGTCCCAGTAATTGTGTGTGCAAATATGTTTTATGTTGTAAGTGGAAAGGTTGTATATCTTTCATTTGTGCTCAAACCTTACCAAAAATGTACTGGATATATAAACAGTAGGCTATAAAACGCATGACATAAAGGAAAATATTTCAGATCGAAAGGCTGAATTAGACACCATTTACTCAAAAGAAATTAGATAGCACGAGCAACCCCTTTTAACAATTCCCAACAATTTGTTCCGTCGTCATCAATAACAGAAAAACACTCCAGCGTTACAATGCCTAAGAAGAACATAACACAACACCAATAGGCGTTCACTAAGTCCAACACATTCGCTTTGTCGCGGAGTCATCAAACGCTCCACCTTCTGTTAACATGAGAAACATCAGTCTGAGCACTATACAGCGATCATGTAAAGGCATAAACTAAGAGGTATAACTCAGAAAAAATAACAGTACAGACAATTTTTAAACGGCCAAACTTCCACTCAACGCCAGGATACTACTCGAACACACGAAAAATACAATTTGACACACCCGCCGTCGTCGGCCGCAATTACATAACAGTCCTGTTGCGTTACTGTCTTCCGCTGCACACTAAATGGTATCCAACATAGACTGCTCGCTAAGCTTTCCGTTTGAGACAGTGCAGTCGATACTAGCTCCCAATTCTCATCGCAGACTTTTATCCCGCAACAGCAAAACCGGGTCACTCGGGTTCGAAGTGTATCACTCGACTGTGATCCCTCTAGGAAAACTTCACATTAATCCGTTACCACGTCACCCGTCCGCCATTATCCAACAGTCTTCTCTAGGCGCCGCCCTGATGTCAGCCTAACGGCTCCCAAATTAAGACCCGCCCACCAAGGCTACTCATTGGCTATACATGATCATAATCATAATCCACTAAAATAATTTAATAAAGGACTACAGGATTTTATCTACACTGGGTTGATAGACTCCCTTTGATGTATAATCTAGCTAGGACCAGACATCACGGTACGTGGACGAACAAGCTGTTCCATTTCAAGGTAACTAGCATATGTTTCTCTCTGCAATTTCAAATATTATTTTCATCCATATACAGTGGTACCTCAGAACTCGAACTTAATCCGTTCAGAACTCCGGATGGAATCCTAAAAAGTTTGAGTTCTGATCAAATTTTCCCCATAAGAAATAATGGTAAATCGATTAATTGGTTCCCAGCCACAAAACATTTACACCTAAATATGTTTTTTAGCATTTAAACACAAAATGAACCGGATAAAACAAGAAGAGCATATACTGTACTAAACACATCTAAGCACATTTATCAAAACAGTAATTTGTTAAGTAAGAAAATAAATGTATCCAAACAATGTGTAAAGTTAAAAAAAAAAAAAAACAATGTGTCCTGCCCCAATCGTCCGCTCCTTCCGTGTGCCACGCCCCCTCGTTAACCCCGTATGGAATCCCTGTGTGATCAGCTGTTTCTGGTTGTTGTCATTAGTCCTCTGTATTTCGTCCACGTTTCAGTTTGTTTCCCCAATCCGGTTATTGTATTGTCCGTCTGCGTTTTGCATGTCTTACCTGTAATTAAACCCCATATTCCCCGATACCCTGATATCTGCGCCTTTGTCTCCGACAATATTATTATAATTAAATGTATTAATGGCTTATTGTTAATGATATTAAAATAATTAATAAGAAATCTTTATTTTTAAATAATAATAACTGTTACTGTCTATCATTGTGTAAATGTATTTTACTGTCTAAATATATGTATTCAGCTAGTGTAAACATGCACTATGCTATTACAGCGAATGCGAGGCTGAGACTGAAGCGTTACCCTTTGTTTCCGCTGAGAGACGTGCGGCGTGACTCATTTCCCCACGCCTACAAGTTATCTTAGGTCAGCGTTCACGGTTTGACTTCTGAGATTCAGATCGAGTCCTAGGTAATTTTTTTTTCGAATTGGTTGGTTTGATTTTAAGAAATTTGAGTTCTAATGAGTTCGAGAACTGAGATACCACTGTACTTGTTAATCTAAAAGTTATTCAGATTAATTATAATTGTATAATTGTTGTCAATCTGATATTATAATTATTGCGATACAGTCACATGACCTTTCACCACGTGCAGATTCATTTAATTTCCACCACTCTACTTAACTTTTTTGTTATGTTTTTTTAAACTTTGTTGATAAAGATTGATGAAATTTGGGTGGCATCTGGTTTGTGTTAATATTTAGTTTATTTTTACTCTAAAATATAATAAAACCATTGTGGTATGAACTGAAGAGGAAAAGGTGTGTACAAAGTATTTTGATGTATTCTCCGGTAAGTAAAGGCATTCAGTAAATCGTTTGCTTATTATACATCATATATTATTGTATACATTTTGCTATCTTAATATTGTCCTGTTACGTTAAGCCATTACTTTATTCTGTGTAGTAATGTTAACGTTACAGTGCTGTGCCTGTTTTCGTTATTACGACGAATTTGGTTTGATTGATTGAGGTTACTGAAGAAGTCAGTCAGTAAAGGTGCTAAAGACAGAGAAGAGGACTGACATTTCACGATGGCCGATAAAAATATCTCAGCACCGGAAGAAGAAAATGAGAGGCTACAGTCAGCTCAAGACACAGTCATTTTTTGAAGGTGTTTATGGCAATGATTTGACTCGTATTTCGCCATTGACATACACTGCCCATCCAAAAAAAAAAGTCGCCATTTGAATTTTTTGTTGGGCCGCCTTTAGCTTTGATTATGGCACATATTTGTCATGACATTGTTTCCACAAGCTTATGCAATGTCTCATCCTTTATTTTCATCCAGATTTGCATTAATTTCTCACCAAGATCTTGTATTGACAAGTGAGTTGAACCACTCCGTAAAGCCTCCTTCAGCACATCCCAAAGACCTTCAATGAGGTTAACTCTGTGGTGACCAAGTCACGCGTGAAAATGATTCCTCATGCTTCCTGAACCACTCTTTGACAATTTGAACCCAGTGAATCTTGGCATTCTTGTCCTGGAATATGCCCCTGCCAACAGAGAAGAAAAACCACTGGTGATGGATGGAGGTGTAACCTGGCCATTCAGTAGATTCAGGTACTCAGCTGACTTAACTTTATTGTTGCATAACGTTGCAGGACTGTAATAATGATCTAGTCATTGGCTTTTAAGTATTTGCTGATATAAATTCAAATGGTGACCTTTTTTTTGGACGGGCAGTGTATGTGGAATCAATTTTACTGTTATTGACAGTCTGTGCTTTTATCACACAAGCTGGAGAGGAACCAACAAAGTACTACTTAGTTTGTTCATTAATTCTGGAATAACAAAGGGTTTTGGCAAACACTCCTGGACCTGACTTGCGTCTTTACTTCCTTTATTCATTATCTTGTTAGTTATTTGCTAAGATCAATTGCTTTTGGGAAATCCAACCTTGGTCATTTTGCGACGATCTGATTGGTTGAAATGCATGGAGACTAAAGAACAGTTATCTGTGACAATAATGATAGTGTGTCAGTTGTACTAGTAAGTAATGTTAAGCATTAGGCTTGTGGGACTGGACAGATGTACTTGGACTAGACACATACAACTTTAATGATTTTTGTCAAGAATTTCAAGTTCTCTACAGTGGTGAGGCTAAGACCACTTTTTATCATCATGATGATGATATTGGATCTGATATTTTCATTATGGAATCCTAGTGTTTTAAACCATGGTGCTCATGGATAGTAGGGTACAGAGTCCCTCTCAACGCCGTTGCAGAAGAATTTCACCTTGGCGTGTCACTGGAGCGGCTTTGCTCGACATCTCCTCTTGTAGGGTATGGTTGATCGTTTTTCATAATGGTATGACTTGGCGTGTGCCACAGCAAAGGTGTAGTAATGCATCATGACTTTTTTGAGGCTCGGAAATACCATTAAAAATTGTACACATTCGGGTGCTTATCTCACCATGCACAGCTCCAACACCATTGGGAAATTCGTGGATGACATGGTGGTAGGTCTGGAAGGTCCAGTGGGGATGAGGCGGCATACCTCGATGAGGTGAAGAAGCTCTGTGGTGCCAAGCTAGCAACTTGGACGTGAATGTCTCTAAGACCAAGGAGATGGTCATGGACTTCAGGAAGGAGCAGCAGAGGGAGTACACACCTCTCAAGATTTTTGGGATTCCCGTTGAAAGAGACATCGGCCGCAGGTAACTCAAAGTTCATATCTCTGAGGACCTGAAACGGAGAACCCACACGCCCACCCTGGTGCAGAAAGCAAGACAGCGACTGTCTCACCTGAAGCAGCTGAGGAAACTCATAATCTCCTCTGCGCAGCAAAAATCTTCTACACTGTTACTGTGGGATCTGTGCTTTCTGGGAGCATCACAGCCTGTTACGGCAGCTGCAGTTTCGAGGATGGCAGAGACTGACAGAGAATGATACGGTGCGCCTGAACAAACCACCAGGACAAAATTGCCCTTCCTGCAGGACATCCACATCCAATGTTGCAGGTCCAGGGCATTAAATATAATCAGAAACACTCACCACCATGTCATAAGCTGTTTCAGTGGCTGCGCACAGACAAGAACCTCTGAAGGTTTATGGCTGGGACTGAGAAAATTAACTAAACCGCAACCTGCACTTTAAATATGTTCTCATGTTTTCTTTTAACTATTTTATACTTTTTACATGTTTCTTTATCTGAATACTTTTTTACTAATTTAAGTTATTTAATTTGGTTGTCCTTCTATATTGTTTATGACAGTCTAGAGCATCAGCAATTTCATTTCACTGCTGCTGTATCACTATATTCATGCATGTGGCAAATAAAAGTCTTGCATCTTGAGAACATCCCTGAGCACCCTGCCAGGTGCAGTATGTTGTCTGGTCTAGCAGCTTTGCAAGAGTTTACTCATGGCAGAGTTCTCTTCACATCAGCTGTGGACATGTACAGTACCTGGAAGACAGATAACAGTAAAGTTGTCAGTCTCATTTAAAATATAAATCATAACATAGGATTGGGAAATACTTTTTTCGGTATGGATAACTACTGTATGTAGAAATTGCCCCGGGGCATATCTTAATATGTCCACTAGATGGCTGTCTAAGTTTATTTGTTATGAGAATCTGGCCATCATTTTTGTAACTAATGAAAAAGATATATTATAGATATATTATAACAAGAGAAATTATGTACCGCACCTGAATTACTCCAGAAGATTTTAGTAGCTGTTCTAGATAAAATGTCTATTTGGCAGCTGATCATTTTGGAGATTTCTGAAAATGAGCCAGATGATTTTGGGAGCGATTCGTTTAATACACCAAACAGCCATGACAATAAGAACACTTATTATCTTTATTATCTTGTTACAGTGGCACCTATCATGGGCGCCATTACAATTTAAGAAAGTAAGCAGTTTGTTTGTGAAGCTCATGTGTTGGAAGCAGCAAAAATGGGCAAGTGTGAGAATCTGAGCGACTTTGACAAGGGGCAAATAGTGATGGCTTGCATCTCCAAAATGGCAGGTCTCGTGGGGTGTTCCTGGTACGCAGTGGGCAGTACCTACCAAAAGTGGCCCAAGGAAGGCCAAGCGATGACCTGGTGATGGGGTCATGGGCGCCCGAGGCTCATTGATAACGTGCTTGGGCAGCAAAGGCGAGCTGGTGTGCTGTGGTCCCACAGGAGAGCTACTGCAGCACGCAATTACTGAAAAACTTAAAGCTGCCTATGACAGAGAGGGCGTCAGAACACATAATCCATGCTGACCCCTGTCCACCTCCAATAGCATCTAAAATGGGCACGTGGGTGTCAGAACCAGACCAAGGAGCAATGGAGGAAGATGGCCTGGTTTGATGAGTCACATTTTCTGTTATACTATGTGGACAGACAAGTTTATCTGGGGAAAAGATGGCACCGGAATGCACTATGAGAAGAGAGCAAGCCGATGGAGGCAGTGTGATGCTCTGGGCGATGTTCTGCTGGGAAACTGCGGGTCCTGGCATTCATGTGGATGTTACTTTGACATGTACCACTTAACTAAACATTGCCGCAAACCAAGTACACCCTAAGTACCGTGGCAATGTATTTCCCGATGGCTGTGACCTCTTACAGTCAGATAATGCGCCCTGCCACGCTGCAAAGATTGTTCAGGAATGGTTTAAGGAACATGAAAATGAGTTCAAGGTCTTGACTTGGCCTCCAAATTCCCCAGATCTCAATTTGATCGAGCATCTGTGAGACGTGCTGGACAAACAAGTCCGATCCATGAAGGCCCCACCTTGCAACTTACAGGATTTAAAGGATCTGCTTCTAATGTCTTGGTACCAGATACCACAGGACACTGTCAGAGGTCTTGTGGAGTCCATGCCTCAGTGGGTCGGAGCTGTTTTGGCAGGACGAGGGGGGCCGACACAATATTAGGCAGGTGGTTTTAATGTTATGGCTGATCAGTGTATGTGGAGTGTAGCAGAAAAAATGCTTTGTTCCTTTGTTTTTTACTTGCTTGTTGTTTGCTTGTTCTTCATTTCTGTTAACTGGGAATGCTTCCAGATTTGATTTGATGCAAAGAACGTCCATGATGACTTTGATTACTAAAGTTGGGAATTGTGACAGTACCCCCTCCTTCTAGGGTAAAACCAGATGTTTCACCTGGAGGCCTGAGACCATGGAGGTCATTCCCATGATCTGGATCGGGTTTACCTTATGCTATTCCTACATCACTCAGGCGTCAAGATTGGTTCACTATAGAGATGGCACCAATCTGATACTCATTATCAGTATCGGGTCAATAGCGGCAAATAATGTTGGATTGGATATCGGAGAGCAACAAAGAAAGAAACCGATCTGATTTTCCATCAGAGATAGTCTGAAAAATCATGAAAATTCCTATGAAGTTCATCGGTTGTGGGAGATATACAATACCCCCTTCACATTCGCAATTTTGGTTATTCGTGAGTTGGCTGTGAACAATTAATCGGGAATATTTTTGGAGCTCGCTGAAAGATTGCAGAAACTCGCAAAAACATATAAGTCAAAAACAATACTAAGAATGATTTGAATCACATAAAATCACATCATATGTAAATATTAGTAATACATAAAATGCTTTAGTGCAAGTGCATACTATATTATTAATATTAAAATTCTTGTCTTGGGTGCGCCGCACATTTGTGTCTTGCCTAAGCTTGTCAGTGTGGCAAATTTTGCATTTTTAATGTACTTTATGCTGAAGGAAGAAGGAATAGTGCAGATTTTTCATAGATCTCAACACTAAAATTTATACAAACTAGATGTACATACGTATACATACAGTATAGTATAATTTGCACTATAAGAAATATTTTTGTTCATTTTTGTTAAAGTTGTTAGCGAATAAAACAAAGAAGCAGAATTTCTGGCCAATACCAATAGTTTGGGGTGTTCTGCTTAAATAAGTTTAAAGTTTCCCACCTAAATAAACTGAAAAATATATTTATTACATTTAAAAAATATGAAAACATATTTATTTTTGGTGAGAAAACACCAACTCTGGCATTGAACACCCCCTCAGTACTACATTTTATAACTGTATACATCTTATATATTTCTAACATTTATCACAGAGAAGGACTGATCATCAAGTGTGATAAACTCTATAGTTTTCCAGGTAATATCTTTTGATTTCATGCTGTTTGAACTGAATATTCTTTTGCTTTCAATCACTTGCATTATTGCTGGATTGGTGTAATTTGGCAGTACTGCAGCAATCTGTCCTGGGATGGATTTGTTTTTCAAAAACTCTTCATACTCATTACAGTCTCACTTTAAGGTGAGCAGTCAAATTTGTTTTAATTGTGTTTTAATGTTTATTAGTAGGACCTCTTTGTGAAATTTTAGCAGAGCAATGTTTGCAAAATGCATTTCTAACGTCGTTTTCACTAACGTTAATATATTCCACACAGCAGATATGTTTAGTATTTGGGTGTGCAAAGCAGCGTGGGTCACCATTTTAAAGGGAATTATCGGTGGTAAATATCGGTTCATTTTTAACTATCAGCCAAAGGCCGATTGTTGCTGCATCAGCTATTACTGATAGTTGCCCAATACAGTCGGCGCATGTCTAATATTTTCCAATTCTTAGCATGCTGAAACAATGCTGCTACAATACTAAATGCAGATACTAATTGAAATATATCAATAGAAATATCACATTAATGCTTAGTAGTTGATAAAGAGGAAAACAATATTAGATTGGTATTGATATTGGCAGATACTCAAAATTTTAATATTAGTATTAGATTGGACCAGAAAAAAATGATATCATGTGAATGATGTGATCACTAGTTCACTGTGTCCACTTGAGTAATGTCAGTGATGTGGGGAGTTATTGGAGACACCAGGAGGAGGCCAGAGGGCTGGTGATGACTGCATATATGGAATGTCAGATTAATCCAAAAGTGTAACTTGTGACCAGCTTCCATAACCTTGAATGTGGGTTTTTTGTCAGGATCATTTATCAGCGTGTTGTTTTGAGGGACAATGATAATCTGAAGTAGCATGTCTCTCGGGACATCATCATAAGCCTGGAATAGTTCTGGGGCATTTACCAGCCCCAAAGGCATAACCAACTACTCATAATGCCGTGTAGTAGCATGAAAGTCTACTACTCATCCCACCCTGTATACAATCTAGGTTGCAGGCACTTTGGAGCACAACTTTACTGTATACCTTAATAAAAAGGGATCACTGGATGGTAGCCAAGATCAGCATTTGCCATAAGGCATTTGCCAGGCACCAGGGCGATTAGTGTAATTGTAGGGTGAGTGTGGAAGTAGGCAAGCAGAGGCTTGCTAAAGACTTCCTATGGGTTCCAATAAGTGGAAGGGATAGATAGCCTTTCTGCCATAACATGATCCTTGGAGCATTAACTTGACAGCCTTGGAGGCAGGACATTCAAAGAAGGACATTCAAGGTAACCACAGCACAAGCACAGTCCACTTTCCCAACAAAGGGGGGTTTCTTGGCTGGACAACCATGTATGGCCTAGCTGCACAGGTTCCTACACCAGCACAGGTTCCACTAGGACGTGTGTCATGCAGTGGGAGAGGAGGCACAGGAGACGAGGGTGAGGGGAAATACACCTGGAGAGATACAGGAGAAATACAGGGGAATTTGAGCAGCTTGTGGCAATGAAGAAACATTGGTTGCAAAATCAGGGGGAAGCAACTCTTTCACCAAACAAACAGCCATAGTTCCTTCAGCCTGGATAGGTTGGTTAAAGGGTGGCCATATTACTTATGTAAAATAAATGTGCTTGTTGCTTCTTCATCATTGCTGGTTATCTTTAGACTATATTTACTCAATATACACAAGCTTCTTAATTATTATTATTATTATTAATAATAATAATAATAATAATAATAATAATGATGATGATGATGATGGCTGTTGTTATTGTTACAGGAAGCATCATCCATAATAATCACCTCATCACCATAATGCATATGATAAATTTAGCTGTAATATCTGCAGTGGCAATAACTATAATGGAATTGCATTAAAGTCAATGAATTCTCTTTCAGGACACAGAACCATAAATTCCAGAGCATTTGACAGTAGCAGAGCTATTCAGCATATTTCACTATGGCACGCACAAACACTTTTGGCCTGAGCAACAGTGGTGCTTTGGATGAATCTCCCAATATGCTCGTCTACAGAAAGGTAAGACATTGCAGCAGAACCAAGACATGAATATGAATTGTGTGCTACAGTACTTTTGAGAAATGCTAAATAAACTGCCCATTTAAGATTTATGGAAATGATACCATTCAGGAAGGACATCAGAAGTGTTTCAAGAGTAAACTGGCTGACATTAAAAATCTCAACTTTTCATTCTTCAGATGGAGGACGTAGTAGCACAAATGCAAGATGAAAAAAATGGAATTACTATTCGAACAGTGAAAAGCTTTTTATCCAAGACCCCGAGTGTTTTTTCTGGTAAGACTATTATTATTTAGCCTTAAACAAATATAAATTTGTTTGTTTTTTTATTTATGAATGATTGTGTTTTTACTGCATTTTGCCTCCATTTATATAAAAGACTTTGTTTTTATACTATTATAAACTATTTTAAGATTTAAGTCTCATAATTTCTAGCAAAGTGATCCTTATTGACTAGATGTATTGCTAATGTAAATTGTATAAGTCCAATTATTAATGTAATTTAAGATTACTCGTATTACTTCTATACATTTCTTACTTTTCACTACACTCATTCATTATGGAATTTGATGTCTCCTAGGATTTGCTTTGGCTAACCAAGCCATAGAAAGCTAGAGTCTACAGAGTATAATGTTGCATTCTCTAATATTAGTGCTCTAATGAGTACTAATCCTGGCCAGGAATTAAAGTGACATCACAACCCAGGAATCTAATACAGATAGTAATTTCATAAAAGCAAGAATTAATCAAAAACAATTTATTTGCCCTATCACACATCAGTTACAATTTAAAGCAAAGCACAGTGTTCTACCCGTCTATTTATCCTGGTCAGGTTCACAGGCCAATGTCTGTTGCAGACACAGAGCGGCAGGCAGGGGTGCACACGGGATGGGATGCCATCTGAGGCCTCTTAGAGTTCTGCTAAAATATAGATGCAAACTAACCTAACTGCATGTATTTCACCTTCGGGAAGAAAACCTGCACAACACAAGGAGAACATGCATCTCCACACACAGAGAGAACAGGCAGGATCTAACCCCCCCAGCTGGGAGAAGCAACATTATCCACTCAGCCACCAGGCCACCTTCAGCAACCACTGTTAGAGATGGCTGGTAATTCAGGTTCAGAGAGTAAAAGTCCAGACCAGGATTTTGTTTCAACCAACCATTTGAGCACTCTGTGACTGTGGGTGCGTCTGGACCTAAACTATCCATCTCTGACTACTGTAATAAAAGTATATTATGTTGTTAAAACCTTGCATAGTATACATTAATTAATTTCCATAGTGTGGAAAGGTACAAATTTATATAAGCCTCTAAATAAATTATCTTCCTTCTTAAGGATCTGATGTTGTTCATTGGATGGTGAAAAAACTAAGCATTGAAGACCAAGGTACTGTAATATGTGCTCTTGCTAATTTCTCAGTTACACATGTTAGGTAGAGTCAGATAAATTGAAATACCTATTAAGATAATTGTGATAAATAATAAAGAATGTTTATCGTCATCCTTCCATCATACAATCACTTATCACAGTCGTGGGAGGGTGTGGAGCCCATTCCAGGCAGCAGAGGGCACTAGGCTGCGGGGCACGCTGCACGGGATGCCAGTCCATCACGGGGCACTAGGCTGCGGGGCACGCTGCACGGGATGCCAGTCCATCACGGGGCACTAGGCTGCGGGGCACGCTGCACGGGATGCCAGTCCATCACAGGGCACATACATGAACACCTTCATATAGACTTCAGGCAGTTTAGAGGGAATCCCTGTTTGCCTAATTGCATAAGTACATGGGCAAGTAATGTAACGAATACTTACACAACAACAAACACAACAATTCTGTGTTCCAGTCGAGGCTGTTCATCTGGGGAGCTTAATGGCAGCACACGGATACTTCTTTCCAATTTCTGACCATGTTCTGACTCTGAAGAATGATGGAACATTTTATAGATTTCAGGTAGGTCAGAAGACGTTCACAAAATGCGGATTGTATATTCATTCAGTCATTTCCTTCTGGATTATTTTAAGTAGATTCATATGTGGCATAATAACTTTCATCTGAAACTGACATCTGAAAAACTGTTCACTTTTGAACCCTTTCTAACTTCCCTGCATGTGGGAAGGGAAATTTAAGCCTAAACAGGTGAAAGTGAATGATGGAGACCATTATAGAATGTACATAATATTTAAGCAAACCTTAAATATGTCATATTCTTATTCTATAAATAAGTTTGCAATGTTTTTAAATAGCATCATGTTTTGTTTTCTACACCAATAAACATTTTAAAATCATTTTTATTGAAGTTCAGCGCATTAGTATATATTTTGAAGCTACTGTTTTGGCAGCTGTGATGCAGGAAGCAGGTATTCATGGGGTATTTATTACTGCACTAATACTCAGCTCTTTGTCAAGTAACAAACAACTTGACTGACTCAAAAAATAATGCACAGTATTTTTTATGAGGTATATTATTTTATGTCTTCTTTATGCGTTTGTGCTAAATAGCTGAACCAATATTTGCAAGTTCAATCTTCATGATGTTCATAGAGTATATTAAAACTTCTTGAAGAATAACTGAATACAAAATTAACAGATACCTCTAGGTCAGGGGTGGACAGTCTTATCCAGAAAGGGTTTGTGCGGGTTTTTGCTGCAGCTCCCTAATTGATTACTAACTAGATGACTGATTGGCTGACGAGTCCTCAAACCTGGGTTTGAACAGCTGATCTAAGGATTATCCCAAAAAGTAAAGTTTACCTAGAGCCTCCTGCCCGGTGATGGACTGGCAGCCCGTATAGTTTGCCACACAGTCTAGTGCCCTACATACACACCAGCCATCTGTGGATAAGATTGCCCCCCCCCTAGCTCTAGGTAAACTTTACTGAAAATAATAATATCTTGATTCAGACTCCCTATTTCTGGCCATCAAACTGCTGGGAACCAGAAAATACTGACTATGGTAAGCTTAAGATCTTGGTCATTTCAGTGTTATGGATATGTGTATAACAACAACAACAACACAATAATAATAATACATATGTATTCAAATTTAATTTATGCATACCAAACTTAAGTATACAAACTGGTTAAAATATCTTTACATTAAATTACAGCATTACAGTAGTACCATTACATGTATTTGAAAGGCCCCTAATACATTTATCTGTGCCTTGTTTTCTTTTCTGTCCTCCTTCCAAATTATATTTATATACCAATGTATGTAATTTAATTATATAAATAGTTAAATAATTTAGGGTTCCTTCTTTTACTCTTTACTCCTGCTTCCCGTAGCAGTTTATCTATGCAAAAGAACAATGCAGAACAAAGATCGGCTGGAGCTTGCTGACCATGAAGCCGTATGTTCCTTATTCATTTCCTTTGTCACCTCGTTTTACGTTGTTTTTACTTTATTTCTTTTATAATTTATTCTTGCAGTCTCTCATACCACCTCTGCCTCTTAGAAAGTTAAGCTATCTAGGTAGCTACATTACTGCCAAAATGATAATAGCAAAACATTTGGACATGCAATTTTACTATTTAAAATGAAATTTTAATTAAATTCATAATGATTTATAAATCACAGGATGGTTCTTTTGATTTTAAAGTGTCTGTAAACTGATCCGAGATCCACAAACTCTGGCAGAACTTGCTTCCTTTTGTGTTTTGCTGTATCTCAAATATAAGTATCCTCATCCTTGGGGTGATTATTAACTTTTTACTTGGTGTTCATGTCACCTGTCCCTACACTGACATTTCATTTAAAGCTTCACTGGTAATAATGACCTTATTAATAATAAGCTTATTCATCATCTGCGTGATATACAAAGATATCCATGCATCCATCATCAATAGCTGCTAATCCCACAATGGAGAGGTCATCCTAGATGATAAAACAGAATATTGGACAGCCACACTCGGGGGCAGACCCCACACACACACAGACAAAGCTTGGATTCTGTATCTTCCTGGATGAATAGCTTTTATTTTTATTCATTTTATTTCATGAATGAAAAAAGTACAGAGATAGATAACTAAACACACGCACACACACACACACACACACACACACACACAGTGCTCACAAAAACTCTTGGGACGCTCGCTTATTTCAGAAAAAAAACATTGCCAGTGGTTTTATAACAAAAGTAATTATTTTTTTAAAATATATATAACATATATATCAATATATACCAAATCATAGTTCTAATGAATTGAATTGAAAAAGAAAATTTTGTCATGAACCCCAAAAAACTGCAACATTTTTTTAGAGAATTAATCAAACATCCTAAGACTTTCTGCTGCCTGCAGAAAGACACACACACACACACACACACACACACACACACACATACCCTGTGTGGGTGTGTGTCCCTGCCTTGTACCTAATGCTGAACTCCAGGTTCATCCAGGATGCTCACCAGGGTAAACAAATAGAAGATGGAAGGAAGGTCATGCTTTGTTATTTATTAGTACATATTAGTACATAAAGTACCTTCATAAAGTATACAGACCCGTCCATAACTGTGTTCTTGGTTCTAGGAAAGCTTAGCCAGACTACAACGAGATTTTGCCCGAAAATGGGAGTTTATATTTATGCAAGCAGAAGCACAAGCAAAGTAAGTGGATCGTACTTCTATAAATGGTTAATTTAGCTTTCCTGAACACTATATTCTTTCCCATTGTAATCACTGGCACTAACAGTTATATATCTAAGTTGGAAAGCTAAATATTATGGTAATATGGTATGTTCTCCTACAATGTAGGGAGGAGTCAGCATTGTTGGATATTCGAACATTCAACAATGTGTTTAAAATTGAAAATAAATGGTAAAATCGAATAATGGATGAGCTATTATAAATATTATTTGGCAGTGATATACACTAATTAGTTGTGATAATTTTGCGGTTTATTCATTTTGACGTTAACGACCGGTGTTGTTGTGTGAGCCTGTTTTCAATGCACACGATATAGGAGAACACATTGTAAGGGTATAGCAATCCATTAGAAATTAATAAGCTGTTATAAACGCTGTTGCTGAATACATACCCTTATGTTCCTCAGAGTTAATAGAAAGAGAGACAAGGTTGAGAGGAAAATACTTGACAGTCAAGAGCGAGCCTTTTGGGATGTTCATAGACCAGTGGTAAGAATAGCCTACTTTCATCTATCTCAGAGTAACACATATTTCTGTTATTCCTCATATTATTTCTTGATCGCCCTGATCAGGACAAGCAGTTGCAAGATGGATGAATATTATTCCGTAACTCTTTGTAGGTTAAAAGAAAAAATGAACACCACATTGATAGCCGTTCTAAGTTTGAAGTTTCTGAAAAATGGTATTGTAGGCTTTCTCCTTATGCATTTATTTTTTTAGATTTCACATACTACATGTTTGAGTGCAGATGAGTAATAGCATTGCTAACTCCGTAGGTATAGTTGCAGGTTATATATGCATTATGCAGTAAAGCAGAAGGAATGTAATTTTACCATGGCTTTTGGCACTGAACTGTTAAGAATATATATCAATCATATATATCAATCAGTCATAACATTAATTTAACCCAGCATTAATGCATGCTGGTGCCATCTCTTCCCCAGGCAAACGATGCACACACACCTGACCACCCACAAGATGTAACAGAAAACGTGACTCATCTGACCAGGCTACACTCTTCCATTGCTCCATGATCTGGTCTGATGCTCACATTCCTATTGTAGGTGCTTTCGGTAGTGGGAAGCGGTCGGCATGGGTTAGGTGTTCGGAAGCCTTTCTGCCATACACTGCATTAAGTTTTTCAGCAATTAGTTCCACAGTAGCTCTCCGGTGGGATCAGAGCAGATAGGCTGGCCTTCGCTCCCTGCGCACATCAGTGAGCCTTAGGCACCCATGCCACCATCACCAGTTCACCTGTTTGCATTCTAATACATAATTGCACTCATGTCAGCTGCCATTGTAAAAATACAAACGATTTTTTTTCTGTGGTTTTAATGTTATGGCTGATCTATATATGTTTGTGGATGAAGTGTGGCTGGAAATGTATCACCAGCCTTCTAAGTGTCAGTCTGTGGTAATCTGTGGTGTCTTCTAATACTACACAGCACTAGGAAAGAATCACAAAATGATTGTGTTTATGTGGTGTAGCCTGGCTGTGTAAACACAACGGAAGTTGACATTAAGAAATCCTCAAGAATGAAAAATCCACGTAAAACAAGAAAGGTAATGTACTGTATTCTATAATATTTTAGGTTAAGCAGAAGGAATATTTAAACTATGGTGTAGATTGACTTTGAGGACTTACCGATTGTCTGACTAAGTTTGGGCGGTTTTGTCTGTGGTATGTGGGTTGCAGAGTGACACACACAACAACGGTCCAAACCTGACTCCTGACCCGGAGGCCTACCAGCTCACAAAGGAAGAGCTTCACAAACAGGTGGGCGTCACATGGGTCAACGTCTGCTCAGCATATCTGCAGAAATCCTACATTCTCAAACTTGCCGGTTAGACAACTTATGCAGATGTGGGGCTTACAGGTTTGCCAGCTTTGGTCAGCTGGCTGGAGTGAGATATGTCAATTCGAGACGAGTCTGCACACACATGCACATGTATTTACATTCATGTAACAGTTTTATTACCTTGTGAATAGTCTGTAGGGTTTGCACACTATCCCAACACTTTTGATGTAGCTAATTTTAGGTTTATAATGGGATAATGTGGATCTGCCATGAGATTTCTGTGAGAGTTTTAAAGCGTGAGATTCACACCAGATGGAAGAGAGTTGACAACCCTGGGCTTATGGTGTTCAGTAAATCTGCAGAAACTGAAAAGAATTGCATATTGCTTTTCTTTTGGTCCCTGACATCACACAGGCAACACAACAACATGTTAAATGACACGATAATCTGGTTAATTTTGGTGAAAAATGTGGTTCAAAATAAATGCTTAAACGCATATCATTCAGTTGGCACCTCCATCCAATTCACTTATTCAATAACACAAGATTAGCATGGGGCACAAGACAGGGGGTCACTACGGATAGGATGCCAGCCCATCACAAAACGCACACGACAAAAAGTAATTTAGAGAATGTTTTCCGATTGCAGTAGCAAGGGAAGTACCTGGAGGGATTTCACGCAACACAGAGAAATCATGCAAATGCCTTACAGTACATGCAGAGCAGGACTTAAACCTGGCAACAATGCTACTCACCGATCCACCGCATCACCCTCACAACATAATTAGCAAAAAAATTAATTGCAATAAAAATGCAAAGTGTTCAATATCAGCTTAGTACTGTCACAGCACTGATTGCACACAAGTGTGCTTTACAGATATAAAGCTACTTTGCATTGTAAAAAACAAACATTTCTTAGAGATTTATTCATTTCCCATTTTACTGGATACAAAACTTTTATGCTGACATTTTTTCCTTTCAGATAAAACTTTGTCAAGCTCAGCTAAATAGACATCGGATGAAAATGTCAAAAGTTGCAGAAAGGTCTGTCTTCCAAATTTCCCGTTAGACATGACCTTCTTATGAAACTCACAGTGTTTAATTGAACACGGTAATGCTTTTATTCTTACTTCAATAGCTTGGTTTTAAGTTATGGTAAAATACGAATTTTCGACAATAAACCTGGACCAGCACAAGTGGCAGGAAGATGTATGGAAAATTAATTATGTATGTATTATGTGTGCATGTATGTGTTAATAATGCATGCATGTAATTATTTCGCAGTAACTGGAAATGTGTTTACTGTTGCATGCTGAAATGAATTTTTAAATGGATTATAGGTTAAGATCTACTGATCCTCACTCTTCTCTTAGGTTTCAAAGTTGTGTCTTTCCATTAGATCAATTCATAACCACCATGCATGCGATACTTCTCATCAGTTTGATAGGGTATACAGAACAGTACGTTGAGTATGACCCATTGCTTACGTCACCTGATCCCTCCAACCCTTGGATCTCAGATGACACAGTAATGTGGGAAATGGCAGTCAGGTGTGTGTGTAACCATGCCTGTCTTTCAGACTTTCATCTGGCAAGCTTTCCAGCAAGACCAATCATACGTACACAGCCAGTGTGTTAATCTTTATCATTATTTGATGTCTTACACAAAACTGGTCATCTAGTATCACTGGCAATAAGAATGTAGAGGTTTTTTTCTCAGTACATATAGGGTACGATGTCTTTATGGGCATGAATTTCATAGCATTTGTCTCTTAAATGGTGACAGAAAATTCCTGTTATTGCATTTGGTCTAGTTGGTTTTCCCTCATTCTCATACAACGTATGTTAAAGCCTTGATTTGAATAACCTTTGAGTTTGATAATTATTGCTTTTGAAGATACCACTTAAATATGCCTATTGATGATACTGTAAATGAGTTGCTGCAGCACTTTGGATGTAGCATTTACATGTTGGCCAACAACCTTTGCAGCAAGGATCTGAATCAGAAGAGAGTGCGGAGATGGGGCTTTGGGATTCATGAGGTCTTAAAAGATCCAGTGGGCCAGGAGCAGTTTTTCAGGTTTCTGGAATCAGAATTCAGCTCAGAAAACCTGAGGTACAGTATTTAGTATATGGATTACAGTCCCATGTTAAGAAATGTTATTCATTCAGCTAGCTTTAGCCAGAATTATATACATTGATGTTGTTGTTGTGTGCGTGTGTGTATGTGTGTGTGTGTGTGTGTGTGTGTGTGTGTGTATATATATATATATATATATATATATTCAGAATGATATATGAAGAATCATTCTGAATAAAATTTCTTGCTCAAATTTTGGGTCAATTCAGTTTTACAACTAGTCTAATACATTTGCTTTGTGTTGAATCTAGCCCTTCTCAGTTACATGTTTACCAACAATCCTTCTTCTGAAACTCTTTTGAGCTATTTTCATCTTGGCAAGACTAAACTAATCCAGATGTCTGAACTCCACTGATTTGCTAATTGAGAAAATGAGTTGACAAAATCCATCCATCCATCCTCTAACCATTCATGCTGGTCAAGTTTGTGGGCATTGTTAAGAAAATATTAATAATTTTAAGACATTATTGTACTATGGAAACATTTACATTTTAATTCATATTTGTACTTAATAATCATACAATAGTCATACTTTTTGTATATTCTGTCAATGAATCTTCGACATTGTTAGTTGGCTGTGCCACACTCTTTAGGTTCTGGTTGGCTGTTCAGGAGCTGAAGAACAAGCCCATCAGGGAAGTCCCAGTTCGGGTTTGGGAAATCTGGCACGAATTCCTAGCAGCTGGTGCTCAAAGTGCGATCAATGTTGATTCAAAGAGTTACGCCAAAACCACTCAGAACTTGAGGGACCCTGGGCGCTATGTCTTTGAGGATGCTCAGGTACAGAAAACACCAGAATTCATTGTATCACAAATTATTTCATTGTGTCACTCAGTTAATGAACTTAGCTTAAATACCCTGTTGTTATGCTTCATGTACCCTCTGCTCTTTTATGGCTTGGAAACTCTGATTGGAATTGACTGTATTGTGTTTCTCAGCACACATGGAAGTAGAGTTAGTAATGAATGCAAGGGTGTAGGTTTGGTTTGAACTTTGATAGGGATCAGATCAACCCCGAACTCTTTGCTCCCCCTGAACACACCATACTCCCACAGTATTGGTAGGACATGTCCCTACCAGCCATTCCCAAGTATATGACCTTGGATGGAAACAAGGACAGAACAAAGCCAATAGAGTAAACTCCTTTGTTGGACGGGGCATAATGCTCGCTGTATGCCTGTTTGCTTGTTCTTCTGACATCTGCAGGAGCACATATTCAAACTGATGAAAAGTGACTCCTACAGCAGATTCATCCGTTCCAGTTACTACCAGGAGATGCTGCAAGCTGAGAAAAAAGCAAGCGGCTGATTCTGAGACAGGATTCTTCCTCAAACTAGTCTGACAGAAGAGGATTGTAAGATAAACCCAAAGTTCACAAGCAAACAGGACTGGTTCATAAATTAAACTGGCTTCAATGGGCTTGACCACTGAAAAACAGATATTTCTATTTATATTCATCAATGTGCTTATAACTATATTTCAATAAACTCTTAGAAATATACACAAATCACATTTAGTCTAATATAATTAGTATTATTAGTTTTGAGACATATGGTCATATATTTAGTATTTTTATGTATCCATTTGTGAAACTTTTTTTCTCCCTTGCAACTGAAACCATATTTTTTGATGTTTTAAATGGAAATTGAATATAAATGTTTTTACTTGTTTCACTTATAATTTAAAAAGAATGGACCGATTCTAATGAAAAATTATAAAAGAGTAAAAAAGTCCCAAGTTAAAATTAATGCACAGCTTAGAGCAGGGATAATATGAGAAAGAAATGATTGATCAGTTCTTTTTATATTCAAATTTTTACTCATTCCTTTTTCTGTTATTATGTGAACACACTCGTTTTCTTTGGCTGCCTATCGTTCCTTCATTTCAGTTGCCTGTTTTTCTTGAGTTTTCCTTTTTTTGTTCCAATATTTAATTTGGGACTGTAGAACCAAATGTGATAAATTGACTTGGAACATGGTACGCAGTTAGGCTTGGCTTCATCAGCTGATGAGCTGACAGCCTGACAAGGTTGTGCAGATGGCCCAGGGTCTTCTCACATGACTTATGATGTCATCCTGTTATCCCCTATGAGTTCTAAAGCTTTTTGTTTTTTAATGAACATGATTTTCACTTATCTGAGAAATCCATTGTTTGCATGTTTCATGTATCTTTTTTTCTCTCTGGATTTGATACCTATTTTTGATCATTTCAATGTCACAGAAAATCCGATAAAGAAAAATCTGTGTATGTAATTCGCTGTGCTTCTGCATCGATTTCATTTTGTGCTGTGTCATGGTACATTTATAATTAAGACCTTATTATGAAAGCTTCTAAGCATTTATGATGGACAATACATTTGATGAATTGCCCATTTGCGGCACTTACCCTGTGTTGCATTAGTGCTTTTGCTATAGCCAACAGGCTTATTTAGACACAAACACTTTAAAAATGTATTTGTGAAACCTATTTTGGTATATTTTAGGGCATAATATAAATCACATAATTTCATTTAAGCATTTAAAATAAATTTGTGCTTGGTAACATTTTTGCTTAGCTATGGTCGGTGTACTTCTTAATTATAATGAATGTTAATAATGTTTTATATTATGAAACTTACTATTTTTTTTTTACCAACAATTGTATGGTAAAGTAAAAGTCATGAAAACTGGTAAACTAATAATCATAAAATGGCTAAACAATGTGAATTATACATGAAAGAGAAACTGTGAAATGTAGGTAAAACACGTTGCATTGTATAACAGAACAATTTTTATTAAATAAAATACTGAGGAAATTGTTGCATTTTAAAAGGTATTAAAAGGAATTTTAAAAAAGGTAATTCCAGGAAGAACCAGTAGAGGGTGGTAGTTGGCCTATCCCAAGAACACAGTGCAGTTAAACACAAAGATATTTTTCCCACCCAGGACATAAAGTATCTTGTGGATTAGGTGTCCACCTCTGTGTCCCCATTAGTGAACATGTGTCATTCTGTATGTGAAATTTGTTACGTGCAGTGGCACGATGGATAATGTTTCTGCTTCTCGTTACCAGGGTTTGAGGCCCGATTCCAGCCACTGGCCCAAGCGTGTATGGAGTTTGCATGTGTTCCCCGTGTTGAGTGGGTCCTCAGTAGGCGCTTTGGTTACTGCTCACAGTCCAAAGAGATGAAATTAGACAAATAAATGGCTCTAAATGGCTTGTAGCTTATAATTGTGTGTGTGTTTCTCCAGTGATGCACTGAAATCCAATCTATGGAGTCCCATGCGTTGTGTCATGTGATTCCCGGGAATGTCCTTAGGGTCACCATGACTATATATTGGATAAGTGGTAATGAAAAATTTATGAAAAGGGCACCTTTCAATAAATAGATCTGTGGCGTATGATAGATCATACTTGACATGTCCTTGTATTGTGAGAGAAGATAGTCATTCAACGTACTGTAACTTATCTTTCAAACTGTGCGTATGAAATTCACTAAAATTTTACACTGAGAGGTTTTCCATTATAGTAAAGAATAAGATCGACGTACCGTGTGAGCACACGCAAAGCAACAAGTTAACAAGTTGAGAAATGGTGGAGAGCTTAAAAATGAATCCATGATCAATCATGAAAACCACTGAAAAGCCATTAGTGAACTGTATAAAGATGAATAGACGCTGCTTTGGGTTTAATGATGATTGTCTTCTGTGGCACTTCCTCTCTGTGTCTGTGTACTGAAGGGCCAGGCCGGGGGAGGGAAGAAGTGGTGTAGGGGTATGCGTGCGTGTTTTTATGCGTGAGGGCGTATGGAGGAGGTTAGGCGGGGAGGCCGTAGGGAGAAAAAAAACTCACTTCAGTGTGTTCAAAGGACCAGCTGAGTAACAATGATGTAGGGTGGGAGGGAAGACAGCTGGGGGCTGTGAAACAGACACACACACACACACATATGACCAGACAGAGAGAGACGGGGAGAGAGTGAGTGTTTAGTGTCCGGAGCCAATCGGAACGCTCTGGCAGCGATAATATTCACACACTGGTGACGGCGTGGGGCTGGACGTGAGGCTTGAACTGCACCAGAGAGGCAGACGGGCGTCACTCGGCTGCTGTTCTTACTGCTCAGATGGGCCTTACTGCACCTTTGGCTCCAGGGGCCCAAACTCTGGACAGCTGCACCTGACAGCCACCAGGCCGAATAGCCCTCCACATTCTCCAGTGTTTGCCCTCTGTAAACGATAGGTAAGTCACTGGCCTGTTTGTTACCAAGTGAGATTCCACAGCTTGTTTACTTAGCCTGCTTCTTTCATGGTCATTGTATAAGAAAACTTTAATGCCATATTAAAACAATTTTTTTATGGAAGCAAACCTTTAAAGTTTACTTACAAATATACATTTTTTTGTACAATATAGATAAAATCGTTGAATTTGAATTATTCTTGTGGCCTAAAATACAATATTAGTAGCATTGTGGAATGATGAAACACTATTCTGTTTATCAATATAAGTTTAAGGATGGAACTGAAAAATAATAGGTCTGGTTAGAGTCAATGGGGATTCAATGCGGTTCTAACCTGATTAATGGTTGGTTGTCACCTAATTGCTGATTGCTCTACCTACTATGGTCAGCTAGTTCAGCAAAAAACAATCTGTGGACCGTATTTGCTGTAATGTACTGTAAAGAGTAATGAGTTTATAGTGCTGGCATTCTCCTGAGTTCAGCATCAAGAGTCCCCCAAATTCTGGATTTTTATAAAGCCCTTTGCTTTATGGTGTCAATGTCCACATTACAAATAATGTAAAGTTATTTCTCAATTAGTTTATATTCCTAAAAGTCCCACACACTCATTCCTGGTCAAATTCAATCCAGTTGCTTTGCCTCTCTTTGTGCCACTGAGATAACTTGTCATGTTACGCTTGGGATGACCCTTTGTAATAACGCAGTAAAAGTTCTCTGGTATGATAATATTTCAATAGATTCAATGACCCAGAAATATGGCTTTTATCAGAAATTCCTCTCAACTCTTCTCAACTAAAAATATTATTGCTTGGTCATTGTCCATCTTAACCTTTAACAGTCAAGCATTTATGATTCAATTTTGATAAATTTTAAAATATGTAGCTTGACTTATAAAAAAATAAGTGACGTCACTAGGGTAGGAGATAATACTTAGCCGATAAATTATTTACATTTGCTCCAGAAATAAATTATAGCTTAGGATACATGATGATTTGTCTGGAAATGGACATAAAAATTTTAGCACTGCGACTTGTCCATAAAACCATAAAATGCATGCAATTTAATAAAAAATTTAAGGATATGTATAATTGTTTATTTAAGCTATTATAATTAAATTGAAATTCAACTCGATAGCTCAGTTTAGTTTTAGCATGTTTTTTAATCTTAGTTAAGTTGATTTTTGAAGTAAATTTATTTTCTATGTATACTGTTTTTCGAGCTACACTAAAGAACAGTGAAGGGTTTAAAAAACTGATGTTTGTGATTTCTATAGGGTGGTGGAAAATGCATCTGGGTAGTTGCCTGATTTTAGAAACTAACATTTGCATTTGTGCAAGTGATTTAGTGGCTCAGCAGGCAGGGCTGTGAGTGCCCGACTCCCAGGCTGGAATCTTACCTCTGCACTATCTGTGTTTGTGTCGAGGCTGCATCTTCTCCCCGTCTTGCATGGGCTTCCTCTGGGTACCCCAGTTTCCCCCTGTAGTCCAATGTCAAGCGTAGCACTAATTGGGGTCTCTCAACATCGGGGGTTTGTGTGAAGTTTACAAGTTCTCTCTGTGTTGCATAAATTTCCGCCTGCAGTCCTAAAACATTCAACTGCGAAATTTAGTATCTTTAAATTGCCCATAGAGTGTGACCTATGTCCTGTTATGGACTGGCATCCCCTCCAGGGTGTACCCAAACCTTCTTCCCTATTCTACCTGTGATAGGTTCCAGACCCCCTCTGAGACTAAACAGGATTGGTTTATGGACGATGAATATGTGTATTTTATAAGTTTGTATTTACATACGTATTTCTGCACTCTGCTTGCTTGCTAAAATTCTAATAAGGCAAGAAAGATAAAGCATTTCACCAAAAATTATATTTAATTCCTTTACTCTAGGTTAACATAAAAAATGATTCAAAAGTTAAATTGCGTTGGGGATCGTATTTCATGTTACTTTTGTTCAGGGAACATAAGATATTTATTTGTACAAGTACAGTTATGTAAGAGTTCTTTATTTGCATGTGTTACTGTCCTAAGAGACTCACAGCTAGGACCCAGAGTGTGAGGTCAGTCATTTAGCTAGCACCTTTGGAGCATTTCTTGGAGTTAAGATCCTTGCTCAAGGGCCCCACAGCGATATGATTCCTCTATGGTCGTGGGATTCAAACCAGCAACACTCTAGAGAAAAGCACATAGGTTTTAACCTGCAGAAACAAAAGCTGCCCCAACAACCTCCTAGTGTTTGAATACTATCTTAAACAATCGAATCCCTGCTATTGCAGTAAGACATAAAACAAGTGTTTATTGAAGCCCTAATCTTAAGGTTGAAAGTAAGACATATTTTTCCCCTGTGTAAAATGAGATTTAAAAACTTTTATTTTGAAATGTGGAGCTGTAGGGTCACCTAATAAATTTCAAATTACACTATAATCCCATTTATTTGGAGTTTGAGGGTCCATACTCAATGAGCAGAACATTAGATGAGTATTTCTCAACCCAGTCCACTGGGATCTCCCGACAGACCATAATTTTGCTTCCTCCCAGCTCCCAGTGCACCTGAACCTAACAGTCAAGCAATGAAGAACACAGAACACATGGAACGAGAATGTGCTGGGAGGGAGCAAAACATGTGGACTGTCTGGTTGTCTGGGCTAAGAAACACTGGCTTAAATTATTACCCAGCATGGAAATACTGTGTCATCTTCACAGCCGTCACATACTGTATCATATCAATGAATCTGTCAATTATTGTGCACGTTGGCATGCCGTATTTTTTGCTGGGGGACATTAAATTTGTGCTCTGCATAGGAACATATTCTTAATAAATGGGTGAGCCATTACCAAACATACTCTGGACATGCATGATCTATGTATAATGCAATATTTAGAATGTAATATCTGTTAACATGATCAAAAACCTTCATTTCATATTTACAGTAACATCTTTAAATGTGACACCACAGGTTGCATTGTTAGAGATTTAAGAGCATCAGCACCAATCATGACCAGATGTGGTTAAAGTCCCGAGAGTAAAAGTCCGGACCAGGATTGTTTTTTCAACCAACCAGTTAAATACTCTGATTGAGACTCTTTATACTCAACTGGTTGGTTGATACAAACCTTGGTCTTGACTCACTCGACCTGAATTACCCACCTCTGATCATGACAAATTGTACTTAATCTGTATTGAATCAATTATCTCCAGTTTCAGTTCCAATTTCTTTTTGGGCCCCTAGAAAAAGTGTAGGCTGGTCTCTTCACTCCAAATGAATGAAAACAAATCACAAAAATATAGTTGACAATACTTCTTTTTTCATTTAAAAAAATTAAAAAGCCTTTAAAATAACTATAGGTATTCTCCCATGGTTTTTATTTCAAGGAGTAAATGTACTTTGATGTACAAATCAGAACACATAAAGTCACCAAATATACTCTTCTCAGCTTATTTTTCTGATCAACTGTTGGTATTCACGCCTTGATGAGTATTTCAAGAGTATGTCTTCTGACAACAGCAGTTCTGAAAATGCACATGAGGTTATCTGTAGCAGGCCTTATCTTTGAGAAGGTCAACTGACCATCCCAAATGCTCTTCTGGTGTCGTGGTGTGGCCAGTACTTGGCCAAGGTGCTGAAATACATGATCAATATTGTTGTTAGCAGCACTGTGAGAAACTGGAAAATGTACAGTTTCTTTGACCATTATAATTTCTTTTCCTGTCAAGTAACTGTAGGTGAATGTAGGATAATTGCGATTAGAATGCTATTTGAGGGGTCAACTTGTGAAAGCTACAAGAGCTTTGGCTGTTCTTTAGTATCTTTTGAATGATATTATACCAAGACCAAATATGTTTGCTCGAGGAATGTTATATTTTTTATTCTAGAATCAAATGTGAATTGAGCTGTGGGCTGCATTTAAAAACTGCTAATTACAATTTGCATCTTCTTTTTTTGAGGAATGTACTGGAAACTTGCAGTATCTGTCCTGCTGGCAGGACTCCTCTGTATACCAGCGGATTCCAGAAGGAATCGACCGCAGAGTGCTATTCCCTCACCCTACAAAGGTAGCGGAAATGTGTTGGAGAGTCAGGCACACAAGCCGGAGGTTCTGGCTTCTAGCCAGGAGGCTCTGGTGGTGACAGAGCGAAAGTACCTACGGAGCGACTGGTGCAAGACTCGGCCACTGCGGCAAACGGTGGCCGAAGATGGCTGCCGGACTTTCACGGTCATGAACCGCTTCTGCTACGGCCAGTGCAACTCCTTCTATATCCCACAACACATCCGGAAGGGCCAGGAGGCCTTCCAGTCATGCGCATTTTGCCGACCACACAAGTTTGCCACCCTCATGGTGGAGCTCGAATGCCCCGGCCTGCAGCCCCCTTTCCGCCATCTCAAGATACATCGGGTCAAACAATGTCGCTGCATTTCAACCGACGTCCCAAAAATCCACAAGCCGTGAGGGCTTCGCTGCACAACCAAACCGGCACACCTACCATTTCTTCTCAAAGGAGATGTCTTATGAGTCTTGGTAAAGAAGATCAAGAACTTATTCTGTATTTACCTGCTATATATAAAGTCAATCTCCCTTTTTGAAGATGAAAAACACCCAGAGACTACAGTTAAGGATTGCTGCTGGAGAGATGAACATGCACAAGTAGGATTTTTAGGTAGCTTCTTGAAAGTCTTCTTTCTTGGTCATGTAAATGTATGACAATAAAAATATGAAATATATATGTTTTAAAAGCTATATTGTTATGCAAGTGCAATAATCAGTGATTCATCTGACAATGGAGTAGTGGATGTGCTTCATGCTGTAGAAATTTGCATCTTCTGTGATGACTAGGGATTATTGGTACTTTGAATCATTATATTTGTCTGTGAATTACATCCAGACATGTAAGGTGAAGTAAAATTTCCAAAATGGTACTAAAACTGAAATGCTAAGATGGCATTTTACTCCAATATACTCAAGAACATTTGATGAAGGCAAGTGTATAAAAGATTTGGGAATGTTAGTATACAAACTATTCACGTTCAATGCACAGCAGTCACGTTTTTTTGCAAAGCCTTATCTATACTTAATTTAATCTATGTTTACATCTTCATTTACTTAGTAGACACCTTTGGCCCAAGGGTTATTCAAGTGAGGCAATTAATACATACAAGAATCTACTCAAATCTAGAAAACTGATAGTACCCCCCCCCACCCCACACACACACACACAGTATATAAACTATTAATCAAAACACTCAGCCTGTATTGTTATATTGTAGGACTAATACAATGTGAGCAATATAAAACAATGCTATTAAGTAACCCTAAATGCCAGGTAGTACTAATTTGTGAAAAACACAGATCAGTTTTGTTTTAAGCAAATGCTATTCAGTGCAGAATGAAACGTGCAAAATTTATGTTAAATGTAATTGAATGCATATTTTATTTGCGGTTATACAAACTACATTTCCTCAAAAACGAAAACTTGGTGAGAAGCGGTATATAATAGTGCATTGCATTAAAATATAAACAAAAAAATCTTAAGGCCTCTAAATATAGCTACTGAAATCAGTGTAGCACCAAGCAGACAGCTCCTTCTGGTTACTAGTTTACTTTTCATAGGACTTAATAACACCTCAGTTACATTTTATTTTAATTTCTTTGAAATTAAGGCATATCACAAAATAAAAACCTCATAATTCTTTTCTCTTTCCGTAGAACTGATTGTTATGCATCCTTACCTTTTAAAATTTACCTTTGGACAGTATACATTGGATAAACTATTTAACTGTGGGTAAATTACAGTCAAATATTTTGTGATTTAACTTCAAGTCCAGCATTCTTTTAATTGCACTGTGAATGAAATTAGTATGACAGTGATTTTATATATATAAAAACTGAAATTAAATAGAAATTAAAGAAAAAACAACTTAGAGTTCAAAGCAGGCAGTCATTCATTTCTGCATCATTGCTAGTACATTTTCAGTGTTTGTTTCCATAACATTCTTAGTACCTTGGTTCAGCCCAAAGCTTTAAATAAAAATTAAGAAAAATTTGAAAGGTCTAAGTAGTAATATAATAACAGCAGATGAAAGGTCTAGTTGGTGTTGTTCTGAATAAAGTGGCTTTTATGCTTTATGTAATTCAATGTGTAGTCCAGCTTCTAACTGAATTTTATCAGTTGTGTTCAGATGATACAATGTTTCACCAACGAGCAGCATATCCAATGGACACAAGGCACCAGCCACGGTTATTGGCACTCAGATCATCATGTTCAGTTTTGCTTTCTGTGAAAGACAGAAAAGAAGCATTTGTTGTACTTGCTGAAGTTGCTTAAAGCTCAGCTATAGCTAATGTTGTATATCAGTATGTTGTACTTGTGAATTCAGTGTGAATCATATACAAATTTTTACATCTTTGTTTTAAAATTATACCGTGATTGATAATGTGTTTTGGTCTTCAAGCAATTACATCAGTAACACCAGAGCTGGGTAATTCAGGTCCAGAGAGTAAAAGTCCAAACCGGGATTTTGTTTCAACCAACCAGTTGAATACTCCATGACTGTGACTCTTTATGACCAACTGGTTGGTTGAAACAAAATCCCGGTCTGGACTTTTACTCTCTGGACCTGAATTACCCATCTCTGAGTAACACATAAGGAAGAGGTAAAGGAATGGTTATGCCACTTACGATCCCAGATGCGTGCTTGGGTTTGACACTGTAAGAAGATTTTTCTCTGGCTTGCTTGAAGCATTCCTCTGCTACTTTCAATCTGAAAAGACCATTACTTTATATTTTTAGTCTGTTTTTCTTAATTGAGGAGTCTCTGACGACCTTATGAAGATAAAGGTTTAACAAAATCAGTGACATAATATGTATGTATATGTATGTATGTATGTACTGTATGTATGTGTATATAATACCATGGGATTATGCTCCTCTGACTTCACTTGAGATTAAATACTGATGACCAAATCACAAATTAGGAAAATATATATATGGTACAGTAGGTGAAATAATATATACTACAGGCAGGGGCGCCGTAAGGGGGAGGAAACCTAGGACGATTCCAAGGGCCCCTGAGTGACAGGGGCCCTAAAAAATTAGGAAAATAACTGGATTGGTTTGGACTGGGGGGCCTAATATGATATGCTTTCATGGGGCCCAAAATCTCTAGCAATGCCCCTGACTACAGGACACAAGCTGAAAGCCAAATGAATGATTACAAGAGGCCCTTCTATCTGAAAAAGTTGTCAGAACTGGAAGTGATTGGTTATGATGTGAAAACACTGCTGTTCTTTAGTCCCCACAAATATAACACAGATATCGGCTAATGCATTTTGTATAACATGCCAGTGTTCACACACTAATAAGATATGATATAATAAGATATAAATAAAGTTAACAGAGGTATAAGTGCAATTTAAATAGTGTAAGGTGCTTTGTGTCTTAAAAATTAAATGTTGTCCTGACATGTATATTGGTGAATATGGCGAATATATTATTAAATATATAAAACCAGAAGCCCATTCTCCAGCATATTTTATTCCAAGTTCTGAATAGTGTGAATGGTTCCAGGCTCACTGGCATTCCGGATCCACAGCTTTCTCAACAGTATATTCCAAACCACACTGGGACATTAACTGCCATTTCCTTGAAAGAGAAAATGCCAGAGCTTTCATTTTCCTTTCTACATTTTTTTTGTGCAATAGATAAAGCCAAAATTAAAAATTACACAGATACTGAGAATGATATAAAGCACTCTATTTCCGTGATATAAGAGCAAAAATTCTAACGATATTTTACATACATGAATTCAAGTGCTGAGCTTGGAAAGCCTCAGTTCAATTTGTTCAACATTTCCATGCAAAAGCAAAAATTGATATAATACAAAAATTTGTGTAAGTATATGTGCAATTGGGTCATTATTGATCTGTCCTAGTAATATAGTAATAATTAGCTACCCAATTAAGCCAAACAATCTAAACATAAAGCAATTTCCTGATTTCTTGTTAAATAAAAATTGTGCACAAATGTCTTTGCTAAGGATATGAATTATAAATATAACAAATGCAAACCTTATTTTCTGTGTGTGGGGTGTAGTACTTCTTGGGGTGTTCTGTTTCCTATATATACGCGATCATATTTTAATTTCACTGTGACTCTCCCCAGTTGAACATGGATAGATGGATGGATTGATGGATGGATTTTTTTGCACATATGAAATACATGAGTAGCGGAACCATGGCCTATGACCTGAGCATCCTGTTTGGTCTCTATGATGGTATTCTCTTTGGGAGCAGTACAAGAGATAAGTGCACCGCTGTGTTAAACCTAATACCTTCATCGCTGCGCTGAATGTCCAAGGAGCTGAAATAGACTTTCAGGAATGCTACATCTTCCACATTTAGCTGTCAAAACAAAGAGCTTCTGTCTTATTCACTGAAGGCAATCCACTTAGTTTAACAACTCTGACCTCAGTGATTTTTTTTTTCCACAGATAGTTTACAGATATTTTGCCAGGATGGAGACGATATTTCAACAGTGGAAAGCAAGCAAAGGCAGGAAAGGTGAGCAGATCAGTCATACTATTCTCTTAAGAAGTTGCTTTATCGCAAACAAATGCTGGAGAATACGAGGATACTTTAAACCAGTATTCTGACTAGTGCAACACAATGCAGCTACAAGCAGAATTTTGGCAAATTGATTCATTCTCATAATGCTGAATAAAAATGAACAAAATAAACAAAAAACGTCCCCTTACTATGTCAGAATAATTATTTTGTGGTGTCAATATGTCACGCATGGGTTAAATGCAGAGGACACATTTTGTTGTTGTGCACTGCGTGTTGTGCTGTGTCACCAATGACAATTAATCACCTTCACAAATTTTTTGCTCAAATCTTATTATATGTCTCAAAATTTGGGAAACCATTTGAAATGTAACTGTCTAATCTAATATTCTCTGAATAAACAGCATATCAAGTGGTGTTGTGATAATTAAATTGCATTAAAAATAAATGAACATATTAGAAATGCATCCTGACAGGCTCTGATAGCATAACCATTATCAATTTTCAGATCCCTTTACAGGCATCAATCTGAGCTAGTTTCATGCAAGGACTTTTTAAAAAGATGTCTTTACCTTTCTTGTAAAATGACCTTGTTCTCTTTTTTCCACAAGTCTTTGAAATCTGTAGAAAATTCATGCCATATTGAGAAAAACGTGTTGGGTGAAACCTCTTTCTCTCCCGTCTTAGGTTTGACAGAGAAGAAAACGGTTAACTCGAAGAAGCTGAAAATATATATAAAAATGTCATTAATAAAATTGCACAAGTGTATCATTAATGTCTATAAGTATTAAATGTTTTAAAGCATTCATATGTGTAATGTTACTGTAATTAATTTTTATTCATAAGCTCTAAATTTATGATTTCAAGACAATATATATGATAGTTCGAGGCTGTGAAACTTTACTGGAAATCATAAGAGGGAAATTTAACAACATTGTCCTTATAAAAAGACTTTAAATGGTTTGATTCCCAAGTGAAGTAAACATTACTAGCTGTACTTGCTAATAAATCAAATAGAAAATGTCTTACATTTTCTGAGTTTCATTCAGCTTCATTTCCTGAGACTCCAGCTCAACTTTTGCTGCAACAAACAAACGAAAAAAACAAAATGTAGCTTCAAATGTTTAACTAATTTGACAGACGCATCACAGCGAAATGCAAAACAAGAAATGTGTAATATTAAATCAAAGCATTTAATTTTCATCTATATCTACCATCACTACTAGCAGTTATGTCAAAGAAATTTCTGAGAAATATCATTTGAAATGGCAGCAGACAATTTGGAAAGAAAAGAATATTTATACATTTTCCAAAGATACAAACTTCTTGTATAAGTTTTTTTTAAATAGCTTTCAGCGCAGAAAAGATGTCCCTTCATGTGGTGCAACAGCACAATGGGCAATAACAGAGACTGCACAATGGGCAATAACAGAGAAAGCACAATGGGCAATAACAGAGAAAGCACAAAGGTGCATTATGGAAAGCTAGGAGTGACGTGTAGGGTTCATCTTTGCAATAATTTAAAAAAAAAACGGCTTGTTTAATCTATAAAGGAAACCCCTTTTAATGTATGTTTGATGCTCAAAAAAAAAAAAAAAGATTAAAAACGACAAAATATACAAGTGCCTGCAACATAATAACCAAACAATGCGAGCTTCATTGCAGAATCCTGCAAGGCTGGGGTAAATACTGGATGGGATCCATCACAGGACACATAAAGATAGACAGTATAGTTATTTTAGCGACACTAATTAGCCTGGCTACATGCCTGTAAGCCATGGGAAGAAATCACAGTAACCCAGCGGAAAGTCAAACAATGTGGGAGAAATACACAACAGTATATTCCAAACCACATTTATTTATTACAGAAAAAGGAAGAGAAACGAAATACCACACAAAGACCAGAGGTGGAAACCAAGACCACGATACTGTGCTACTATTCTGTCACCTTCGCGCCATCGCAAGTACCAAACTAGCACTAATTTCAGGTCATTTTTACTGGGCAAATGTTTTTTTTTTGTCTGTGTCAATTGTGGTTTTTTTTCTCAGCAGGTTTTTTTTGCACGAGACGAAGCTCAAAGTACTTCCATTCCTGGTAACGTTTTGGTCATGTATCTGATGAAAATTGGGGGAAGAAATTATTAGACAATGCTGACGCACGTGAAAAAGGACAACAAACAAATAAAAATGTGTGGCTCCTGCTTTTAAGAGCCACAGAACTTCATGTCCAGCGTACGGCACCTCATAGAATGCCTACTCCACCTCATATTAATCTACTTCCCTGTTTATGATGTCCAGATGGAGGATTGACAGCTTGCATCAAAAGAAGTATGTCATCCTTCTAGCAGACTACTAACCAAATTCAAGCATGCTCCAAGTAATTCCCACGCTACCATTTACTACTGTGTTAAACCTTCTAACTTCTGAAACGCTGATTCAGGCAGTGCGTGATGATTACTCCTTCCTCAGCTTTTATAATTATTCCTAAAATGTAGGTAATAGACTACTGATACAAAGGTAAAACTTCTATAGATGAGTCCCCTGAGTTTTTATGCAGTGGACAGCAAGTTGCCTGATTCCCAGTCATAATAAGCCAAACCAATAGTCCCAGATCACTGACCACATATGCGGAGACCTCCTGGCTCTGATATTCAGCCTTCCTCTTGGGGCATATCGTGTGTAATTGAAGCCAGAGCCTCGTCTGAGTGCCCTGACATGTCCAATACGACGGGCACTTTTATCCAGCGTTTCCAGCACTAACTCTTTCCATTGATCTTTTTACATGTGGTGCCTATTGCTTCTTGATCATTCAGCTCATGAGAAATAAAAATCAGTGGCTGATATAATGAATTTTGATTTGGGCATAAATGAATATTTTAATGCGCATCACTTTTGGTAGCATACAGTAAATCCAAACAACTACAGAAGCAACAATGTATTAATAATACTGAGGTCAATGAATGTTATAAAACAGAGAGAGAGAGAGAGAGAGAGAGAGAGAGAGAGAGAGAGAGAGAGAGACTGGTAAGCTTGAGGTCCTAAAAAAGATCATAAATTGTAACAAAAACCATTATCTTTGAGATCTACAAACAGTTTGTGAATTCCATCACCGGCTGTGAAGAAGAGCGGGGGTAATTGACTAAGACACAACACTGCTTCTTCTCTGAGTCCAGCATTCTGTGGTTGATTTGATGGTCAAGCTATAAGCAACAACAGTTGACACTGTAGGACAGAATTTCTCTCCAGGCTTACAAATCAGACAAACAAAAACATCACATTATTTTTAGTTCAGAAAGGCATATACCGACTTCAGCCCTCAAGAGTGACATGTCCCATTACACAAGGAAAGCCATCTGCAGAGAATGCCCTATCACATGGATCAAAGCATAGCCTAGAACTCACTGCTGTTGTCAAAGATGTCTTGTCAAGACATCCTTTAAACTAGTGCTTTACCATAGCTGAGGTACATGTGCTACATATTATGCTGCTATTTGAACATAAAGCACTTTGGATTAACTATTGTATGACGAGTGAGTCAAACACAGAAGTTCCTTTTAAGTCAACTTGTTGAATATGTCAGAGAATGCAAAAAAAAAAAAAAAAGCCTACAAACAAATAGGCCGAATGGTATATCGGTTTATTAAATATTTATCATTTTTGCTCATTCCATTTATAATTAACGTCCCAACTTTTCTTTTGAGGCTTGCAGGATAAACAGCTACATTCAATTATCTATTATCATGAAATGTTAATTTAATTTTTACAGTTGTGGCATGAAAGAGCCCGAAACATGGATCTATCCATACCCGTCAGAAATGGGTCACTGCCAGCAGTGGTTTCTGGGATGTCTACTGCGGATAAGGAAAGTACGGTTCTGGGTTATTACTGCCTGACAAATTGAACATGACCCAAGATAGAGGGTCCGCATTTATAGTGCATAGCTCCAACATGATCACAGATACAGCAAGGAGGCACAAATGTCATAGCGAATTACAATTATAAGATTCAAGATTCCGTGCAAGGGTTAACCATGCAGGTACTATATCAGGTACTATCAAATAATACATATGCACACATTTACATACATACTGATATATATATGAGTATATACAGTTCCTATTTCTCGTTGAATCGATTTGTACAATCAGTCGCACGACAGCTGTTTTCCATTTTAGATGCGTTTTTTTACTGCGATCAAGCTGAGCGTTAACGCTGCCGCTCTGTTTCTTTGCCACTCAGTGGGTGTGAGCGCACTGACTTCTGCCTGCTGTGACGTCAAGTGCATACCATTCGCAGTAGGGGGAGCGTAAGAAAATCAGATAAGAGGGCGACGATCTGGAAGAATTTTAAGCTTTTAACAGCAACTAGTAGCACGGCGATTTGCGGTCTTTGTAGAAACAAAGTTTTGAGAGGTGGAAGTAGCGTTTAGTGGAAAAATCTCACTAAACAAAGCAAAAGTGCGAGACAATGCGAGTGATATTTAAAAAGCAACGGATGATTTCGGAGTCGCTGGTTTGGGCTGTTTCCCGGACAGCTTGTGATGAATGAGGGCTGCTATCGCAGTTAAGTGTAAGTAATGCTTTTGCCAGGTAGAGAAAAATTGCGGGACATTTTAAGCATTCGCCGCTTGTGTATACTTAATATAATTTAATATCTTGGAAGATATTAAAATTGAACTACAAATTCCTAAAAACCGATAAAAACAAGATGTACAAATGAGGTAGAACAGTACATTATGTACATTATGTATGTTTTTGGAGAATTATTGGCATACATTTTTAGCTTTTAGTAGTGTTTATATATATATATACACACACACACACACACACACACAAGTAAAGTAAAAAGAGCTCCTGTATTGGACTCTGTACCGGTTTGGGCAGTTTTCCAGCCCTCTGTCTGGACTGCTGTGCTCCCTTTTGACCCTCTGTCCAGATTCTCCTTCATCTTCTCCTGCCATGTTGCAATTACCCCCCGCCCCCTTTCGACCCTTAGTCCTCCCTCTTAGACACAGGACTCTCCCTTTGTAGAGTCATACCAGTGGTGACCCTCCCAGGTATAACCTTTCTGAATCATGCACCTGACGCATCAACCGTTTTCCTGCTATTAAACTAGCAAAAGTGGATTTGGACACATCCTAAATTGCACCTCGCACTTCTGATTGTTAAAATAGGGCCCTAAGTGAATATTTCTTAAATAACAATAGTTGTGATTGTTTAAGGACTTGACAGATAATAGTAACAGTTACATACTCTACAATGAACAAAGCTTATTGCCATTCCAGGAGGTTTGTATTGTTACATAGTGTCCTGGCTGTTTACTACCCAGCGGGTTCTTCAGATGATTGGTGACTCTCATGTTTAAGGTTGCTCACCTTGACTGAGGAAATTTTCCATTTTCTCCTTGAAAGGCTGCAGATGGTCCACGGAGGATTGACGGCAAACCTTCTCCACCTCTGATGTACAGGCTGCAGTGAAGACGGAGGTTTGCTTTCGTTTACAGCCAAAAACATATTAACGAAGAGCATAAATTTGATGAATATAACCCACTCATCTATTCTCCACATCTGACTAAATTGCATAAACAGTGACTCATCAATAACCAAGACGATTACCCTTGAGTCACACAAATGAATGTTTTGATTGTATGACTGGGTAACATAGTAGTAGTGTGTGTACAAAATTACACTTTAGGTTTATAGCTGGGTATCCAAATATCTGAGCAGTTTAAATGGACACGGAAACTAAAAATCTTATATCGGTGTAGCTCAGGGGGTTGGGGTCTGTGCCGGTGGCTGGAAGGTTTTGGGTCTGAATCTCGTAGCTGGTAGTATAAACCTATTAACTGCTCCAAGAGTGCTGGTCTCTTAGCCCAACATTCCTTCAGTTGTTTGCTGCCTAATAAATATAAATAACTTCACCATCATTACATTCAGTGGTTTTCTGATTTTGTTACTGATCCTATTCAATGTTCTGGTGTAACAGGACGGGTTCACACTAGGGATAATGTTGGAGTTTCAAGATAGGGGAATGATGTTTTCACGTGTGTTTTGGGGCTGTGAACTGAGACTTTAGAGCTGATTTAACCCTCCTACCAGCAGTAAAAATGAAGAGGGTTACATTTTTCCAATCTGGGTCACTGAACAGCATAACAATTCACTACAAACCCCGTCCTGGGTAATTCCCTGCCTTGCGTCTGTAGCCTCTGCGATAGGCTCCGGACCCCCCGCAACCCTGAACAGGACAAGCGGTCACAGAATGGATGTGTGGACTATTCACTGGCCCCCCAGCATAGTTTATAAGTCGCAGTGTTCCTTTTTGCAAGTACATACGTACATGAAAATGAAAAAGGTTCTACTGTTTTTTTCAAGAAGAATCCAAAGTAGTATCACATTTTGAGGTTTTCCAAAGAGTAATACAGTATGTCTTGCAAACACCCATCCCTGTGAGCACTTTCTAAGGCCAGCTCTTCCATTAACAACACAAACAAGCAGCCTCCAGAAAGCATGAAAAGAAGAAACACTCACTAACCAAACTGTTTAGGAGCCTCAATACAATAATGCAATACTGAATGAGAGACAGCTTGTTATGACAAGGGGATGCCCTCCTCGTGCATAGTCCCTTGGAACTGTATCAAATTCTGACTTCAAACAGTACCTGCAGTTCTTTGTAAAGTGAAACAGGATATGGCAAGGGCACCCATCAAATTTACTTCAAATAATTAATGTTTCTTGACCCAGTGTAACTTCCTGTATGGTTGAGAGTGCAGCGGATTACTATGATTGGCCGTCATTTTGCATAGTGTGGACAGGCTGATGTGATTGGTAGATACATAACTAAAGTAAAATAAATTAATCTAGCTATTATTCCTGAACTGCTTTGTGTGACGTGGATTACTATATTCTATTTTTAGTGCAACAGTGAAGCCATTTGGAAAGATTAAAAAAATACATCCATCCATCCATCCATCCATCCATCTTCTATGCCTGCTTGTTCTGTGCAGGGTTGCGTGGTCCCAGAAGCTATGGGTGCAAGGCAAAGAACAGTGCAAGGAAGAGTGGACAAATACTGCCAAGTCGTGATGTGGCATATTGTTATACTCTTACCCAAGAAGTCAGAATGCTGTAATTAAATCAAAAGGTGCTTCAACAAAGTACAGTATTAGTTTAAGGGTGTGCACACTTATGCAACCAGCTTATTGTACATTTTTTTTTATATATTTACAAATTTGTTTGTTTTTCAATTGAATTGTACAGGTTATAGGTCCCATTAAAAGTAGGAAAAGTTTTGAAATGATTTATCATGATCTCATATTTTTAATCACATATGCAGGGGTGTTAATCATAACAGGGGTGCGTATACTTTTTATTTTCACTGTAAGGTTATCCTCCAGATTAAAAATTATGTTATCTTGTTTCTTCGGTGTGGTATAATCCATAAAAAAAAGAAATCTAAATTTGACTGGTGGTCCACACCATCCCATTTTAAATTGAAATGTTAGATACGCTTTAAAAGGGAAGGGGAAAATTATATTTCGAGCAAGAGCAAACAGCGTGAAATATGCAACTTGGAAAGGCTATCCCTTTTATGGCAGGGTGCAAAATAGATCAAAAAGCAAAACTGCTATTGTGAATCAGATTTGGTTTTGTTAACTATAAACATATCCCTGCAGCCCTGACTGGGATAATCTATATATCCCGGCTTGGCTGACCTTAACCTCCATCTGGGTTTTTAACCCGTGACCCCATCTCCTGAGCCTACTTGCCCTCCACAATATATGTAGCCTTAGGCCTTAGCCTTATGTTTAAGTTATATTAGTGTAAATCTACGATTTCGTGTCAGTCAAAATGTATAAGCTTTACATTTCAAAACCACCCCAATATTTGCAGTCATTATTTCAAACAAGCACACCCTCTTTGCCTGTTCAGTACCTCATAAAGTAGAATAAAAAAAATTAAGTAAGCTGGCGGTGAAATTGAACAAATACAAGGAATGGCTGGGGTGCCCCTGAGGAGCGGCTTGGAGGGCAAAGTGCTGCTCGTCTAGCCGTCCAACAGGATATCAGCAGCATGTTGGGAAATTATCATTGCTATTTTTTATTGTATCACTTATGTTGAATTGTGTTTTTTATGAGCAAATTACACTTACTGCCAAGATAAATAACTTTAGTACTACATATATAAAAATTTTCTTTGTGTAGTACTATATACACACACACACACACACACACATATATATACAGTATATGCACACACACACACGCACATAAAAAAATGATGTCTTTTTGTAACTCTGCACTGGAAATATGATACGTCACTGATGTAGCTGAATAATGCAAGGTGAAATGCAATTTATGCACAATATGGACAGATATAGAGACATGTTTCAAAAGTTAAAACAGATTATTCAGTCACTGGCATATTCACTGCTTTACTTTAGCCAAAATTTTAACCTATTGTAGGCACATAGTGTGCGTATTATAGACTACAGTAATTACACAAGTAATTGGACAAGTGTTATAATTCATTTTAAAGGTATTCACTCATACAAATATTTTTGACTTGATTGTAATCTGAAAAAGAACATCTTTGTACATTTTAAATGGTTGCTTTTCATTGGCTTACAACTGTGCGCATATTACGTGTGGATTGTCATTTTATGGTGGTATTGTTACTGTTTTTCAAACTCATTTCTCCTATCCTGGGGTCTTTCCCTTCTTCGAGAACACTATTACAGAATATGTAACATTTAGCAGATGGAGTTAACTAAACAAAAACAGAAATGTAAAGTATTCCTCCTTTCTTATTTGTCAATCGTAGTTTGACAAAGCAATAGATCTGCCTGATTTTCATCTGAGGAAAAGTACTTAACCTTCTTAGAGTGACGGTAACTGATAAACCTATGAACATGATCACCATGGCAACATACTGTAGGCCTCCAGATGTAACATAACCTATAACAACTGAGCATCTCTTAAAAGGCAAGAGAATGTCTCTCAAAACCCAGACTTGGTAAAAGATTTAGTAGATTTAGTCACCATTGAGATCTTTCCTTAACTTTCGCAGATCCGTTTGTAAGTCTTCAAACTTCATCTGTGAGACATAGAAAAGGTCCTGCGGTTCTGGGAGAGGGTGAAGGGAGGAGTCCTGTCCTATGTCCTGAAATCCAAGGGCACAATACACAAGAGGGCATAGTTACCAAAATAATATCCACAAAGATTAGATGTACTAACAGAGTCAAATACCTCTTGACAGTAAATTGAATTAAATTCCTCCAAATAACTTACGGAAGGGTTAGAAATATGAAATTTGAGGACTGGGACGCAATGTTATTTTCTGGCAAATACTCTCTGGCAACGACTTATTTTGATGACCTGATGATTAATACTTTCACTGTCAAATCTAGAAATACAATATTTTCCAAGAAATGACCTTTATTGCAATACTCCTTGGGAAAAACATTTTTATAAAAGAATATATAAATCTTATTGTATGGATACTAAAATGGATATACTAAAATAACCATAGAAATTAGCTTTCCATAATATAACAAGTTGTGAAGGTGAGTCTTCTGCTGAAGACTTTTTCACTTTGGTTGATTTTGGCAGCAGACTCCTCTGACATCATATTATCTGGATTATCAACTTGTTTACAAGAGGCAGCCTTTGGATCTGAAGCCAAAGACAAAACTGACTACAGGCCTTAACAAACATAAAACACCAGTAACATTTCCAAATGGGTACATAGTGAAATAAATGTAATAAGTGAAAAGATATATTTGTGTTCTCTCTTGCCAGGAAAAAAAGAATAAGACACACCTCATCAAAATGTCTCAAATAATAGGCAACAATGTAACACAGAAGACTCTGTGAGTTGTCCTGAAAGAGAAAAGTAAAACAAGCTGTTAGTATGTATCTGATTTACATATATTTATAACTACATTCATCGTATACAGATGGTGTATATTTATCTAATGAATTAATAATGAAATGTGATTTTTTTATCTTTTGAAATAAATGAAGCTTATTACTGATTCGGAGAGGCGAATTACGACAGTATTGTATCAGCATGTCCAGTTAGATTGGCAGCATGTTATGGAAAACAATAGGCACTCATCGTATGTTCATTACCGTTAACGTCTTACATACATTCATGTCTCCCTTATCAGAATCAGTGCAATGTGGAACCTATTGTGAATGACCAGTATCATCATCAGTTCACTTCTTTGTTAGTATTGTGAGAATTATGAAAAGTAATCCAGTGTTAGAAATAAAGTCATGTTTGGTTCCATAAACTCCAAGCAAATTGCTGAGCCATAATATGGATGTCCATGAATTTGATATTATGCTGCATTCCATTTGAACTCGGAATCTGTAATTTCCGAGTTCCTAGTCGGAAATTTCAACTGGAACGCCTCCTAATTTGATATTCTGTCTCGGAAAGTCGGTGGAACCTCAAAATTCAAGATGGCTGCGCTCTTTATCAACAAAAGTGAAATCTGTAGTTTTATACTGTTTATTAGCACTTACATACTATTTGTGTCTCATTAAATCAGTCATACACATAGTACTGTCCAACCGCTATCTGTAGACATGTTGCTACGGTGTTTTTATGCACCAAATACAGAGTAATGCATTGTCGTGAACTAGTATTGCTAACAATGGCTAACAGTTAACCTGGCTAGAACTGGGGTCTGTTTCAGAAAGCAGGATTTCTTATTAGCCAGATAACTTGTCGGATTTAAGGTAGTCTGGGCTCAATGTAAGTGAGCAAAGATTAAGGCCATTTAAACTGAGGTACCTTAAATCTTAAATACCTTACAAAGTTATCTGGCTAAGCAAGGGATCCTGATTTAGAAACAGGTTCCTGGTGCTGTTAAATGGCTTTCCGACTTCTTATACTGGAATGTAGTTAACTCAGGTATGATGTCATTCCCAGCTCTGACTTCTGACCTCCGAGGTAAATGGAACACAGCATTACTTAGGAGCACTACTTTCCAACAGCACTGATACTTTCATTGGGGAAATGAACTCACACACTTACACTACTCTTCACATCTTTCAGCTTTGGAAGAATGTCCAGGGCAAAGCCATCTGCTTGTCCTCTTGTCCTATTCCCACCATTCATGAAGTTGCCGAAAGCCAACACCAAGCCTAAAATTTGGCGTATACCCACGCTGCTCTTGAGAGTCTATGGAATGGTCAGTTTAAAAGGACAGTAAGTTCTGCACATACATCTGCATATCATAAATAACAATTATGACTGCACAAAAAGGTCTTCCTCCAAATCTCCGTACCCCTCCCTACCATGACATCTGTTCAATTGGTGATATCTATGAGGTCATTATTCACATTTCCATGTTGTAAACTTACTATACAAGCTCTTTGTAGTACTTCAAGCTTCCGGAGGACAGAGGATATACATTCTGAAAAAGTTGATTGAAGGAGGATGCAAAATACCCTTTCAGAGAAGTTGGGAATTTGTGAAAGCTGGAACAGGAATCTAAAAAAATGGAAAAGAAGCATTTGAACATCATTATTCATTTATTCATTAACCTTTATTTTACCAGGCAAAGCATGGCGATTATTGCATCCTGTTTGCTGGACTTTTAAAACATTTGTTTCCATAAAAGTTGACCAAATATTACATATGCATTTTTATGTATTTTGTCTAACTTCAGTTTAAAATTATGTTAATGTTTTTCTACAAAGCAAATTCATAAATAGCCAAGACTGTTCTGTAATGTCAAATGACATTATGGTTTAAAAAAAAGTTTCTTTGTTTGGTGTAAACCAAGAGTACTTCACAATTGCTGTGTGAAAATTAGAAGGGATACAGCAAAAAACATGGACTTTGATAATCTGTCCAAGAACCAAAGTACTGAAATATATTTTAATGAAAGTGTCTAAAATATTGTTTACTGTGAAGTATTGTCAACCCTTTAACATCAATCTCCAGAGTAATCATCCAAAAAACACCAATCAGAAACACCTAGTAGCAGAAAATACTGGAGATGGAGGACAAAAATCGATTCAGTTATGTATCGCCTTTTGTGCCACGATTCATGAATCACAAAGATTCGTGCTGCTCCTCCAGTTTAAAACTCCCACTTAAGATTAAATATGCTGGGAGAAACCAGTTTAAATGTATGGAGGAACTCTAGCTTTCAAAATTTAAATGGTCGATCAGTTATAAATTGCATCAGTCGTAACTCAACGACGACCTGTAGTATTTTTTAATGATGTAGAATTTTGCCATGTTATCACTATTTGTAAAAAACAAACAAAAAAAGTTACTGGAAAAGCTACAGAATTTTACAAGTAGCTGCATTACTAATGAGCTACCGAAAAAAAAAAGTAAAGTTCGTAGCGTCACTAATTGTAGTTAGCTAATCCCCATCACTGTTTGTAGCACAACAATGTCTGTACAAAAACTAGCCATCCTTTTTATGAGAGATGTTTATTTGGCAGGTTTACAATGATATTTTGTGGGAGGGTGAGTTGGTGGTTGCCCCATACCTCCAGGGCTGGGGGTTTGAATCCCTCCTCCATTATATGTGTATAGGGGCACACAGTAAGGCTACTGACATCCCTGAATTGCCTATAATGTATGAGTGTGTGTGCCCTATATTGCCTGTGGAAGTAATCAGGGCCCCTTTAGATATACAAGTTATGTACAATTTTATTAGCATTACATAAGTTTAAAACAAACTTATGCCAAGTTTCTTTGTCATTAATGATATATGCATTGTGTGTTTCTTCCGGATTTAGCTACAGACTTTGGAGCTAATAATTTTTTTGTTTAGTTCAAACTGTAGTTGTATCAATATGTTATTTCAAATTCTGTTTTTAGTATTATACATTTGTAGGGTGGCATTATGGCCTCACACCCCCATAGTCCAAGAATTTGCTGCTGAATTGGTTCCTCCAAATTGCCCATAGTGTACTGTATGAATCATCCCCTGGATTGGGCCTTGTGTTTCTCATGATATAGTATAGGCGTGCTGCAGCTGTACTCTACTGGGTAAGCAGTTATAGAAGATCAATGGGTAGTTTAACACCTTGTTACATTCACTTCCCAAATTTTACTGAGGAAAAATAAAAACAAATAGGACATTCTTACTGTTCAGGTTTGTCGAGAGGCTTCGCATTTTCCACTCCATTTGTTGATATAATGTGTTTTTCAATTGTATCTATTTCTTCCTTTTGGGCTTTCTGAAATGTCAATCAGAATAAAATGAGTGAGACAAATAATCTTGTGGGTCAACATCTACATAAAACTGTTGAAGTATAAGGGGGTTCTTGTTGAAATCAGAAACAGCCCTATTTTCAAGAATAGAATCTAAATTTTGTTTGCACAATAAGCCAGTACAAAACACTTCTGTAACTTTGCCTTAAGGAAAGCCAATACCAAAAAGCTGAGGACATAACCACACTGCCTTAAACATTTCCTCCATGTAATGTGTTACAATACAAGTGAAAATGTGGTTTTAGGATCCCTTAAATTACAGAGAATGTCAGGCCTGAGAATAATGCTCAAAGGACTTTTACCAAAATAGAGAATGGATCCTTAAATGGAAAAAGTGCAATGAAAGGGAAAATGCATACAAGAAAAACTTGCATGAAGACAGATATGCATATAAATGAAACAAGCTTTTTGTCTCAAGTGGGATTCACAAATTTTTGACTCTTTAAAATATATTTTAACCTTTTTCAAGCAAGGTTTTCCTCTTGGAGGAATTAGTGAGCAAAACCAGTCACACTGTGTGGTGATAATATAACATTAATTTATTCAAAGTAACAGTGTCCACATTAAAGAGGCACAGTGCTGCCTTTTGGGACCAGGGTCCTTGTCTCTGCCTTTCCTCCATGTGTGTGGATTTTGCATGTTTTCCTTGCGTTGTCATGGGGTTTCCTCTGGGTTCTCCAGTTTCCCTCCACAGTTCAAAAACATGCAAACGTGAACTGATATTCCCAAATTGCCTGTGCATGTGCCTGTGCCCTGTGACGGCTTGGTGCCCCATCTTGGGTTATTCCCTGCCTTTTGCCCACAGCTTCCAGGCTCTGGACCCCCCACGACCCTGAATAGTATGTAGAGGAAATAAATGTATGGATGGTATCCATGTTTCAGTAGCTTATCGAGTACAGGAAACGCAGGGCAATGTTACAGAGGAACATGGAAAGGATACCAGCCCATTAAAGGGCAAACACAAGAAGGGCAATTTAGAGCTACCAATTTAGTACATATTTCTGCACTGCAGAAAAAAAACATGGAGAATTTAGATGCACAACAAACACATACACACACACACACCTGTACTCATACCTTTGTGGGGACCGTCCATTCATTTCTGTGGACAAAATCTTAATCCTATCAATGACAGCCGTTAAGCATAAGTAACCAAACAAAATACAAGGCTTTTGATATTTTTACTTTTTTAATTTCAGTCAGATATTTTAATAAAATTGAATTTCCCCTTGTGGGGACCGAAAAAATGGACCCCACAATGTCAAAATAAAAGGTTTTTAATCAAATTGTGGGGGCATTTTGTCCCCACAACGTAAGGTATACCTGGATCACACACACACACACACACACACACAAACACACAGAACAGAGTTTGTGAGTCAAACTAACATATAGACTTTCATATAACAATAACATTAGCATACATATATTAATATGTTATTGTTATATGAAAGTCTATATGTTATCGTTAGTATGAATGCATGATATAAATGATATACATTATATATTTCATTTATATGAATATATAGACATACTATTTTTAACCTGCAATAATATCCATCCATTGATCCATTTTCCAACCATTTATCTTGGACAGGGCCATGGGGATGGAAGGGTGACTCATCAAGTACTGACGTGACCTTAGGGTTGAGGATTCCATTCCTCCCCTGACTCATAATTTCTGTGGGTTTACTGGGAATTCCAGTTTCCTCCCATACTTCAATGGGCTGCAGAATATGTCTGTAAACTGGCATATATGTGCACAATGGATTAGCATTCTGTTGTGTTTTGTGTTTCTTGGGATAGACTCCTAGCTTGAAAAATGATGGATAGCTGGACGGATGAAGCACAAACAGGTAATAAATTAGTTCCAAAAATCGATGGTCTGGTTGAGAGGTAATTGGTCACCTAGGGGTTCACACAAATAGCCCAAAGAATATGAAGCAACGCTTTCTTGAATGAGTCCAACTGTAATAATAATAATAATAATAATAATAATAATAATAATAGAAAACAATTAGAAAAGTTTAAAAATTTAGAAAAAATATTGGCAGTTTTCACAGTTTCAGCCTTTCAAGGTCTGAACTTTTTGTATTATTAATTCAGGGCAGCAAAATATTTTCTATTGTACAAATCAACCCATTAATTATCATCTTTGACATGTTTCAGTAAAAAACCAAGAATCACACTGAGAGAAAACCTTGTTGTTCAAAAATGAAACATCAGTCTTTCATTACACACTGATTGTTAGTAATTACCGTCATGTCTTTCTTGTTCACTGACGTAACACTGACTGTGACAAAAACCTGATTAATTTATATTTCTTTTCTGTTACTCTGGTCCTAAATATCTTGAAATAATGATGATAAAAATGACACTTTCATGACTGCAATGAAATTTCGCAAGTTTTTAATGAATACCATTTCCACATTAGAAAAGATGCAAATTAAAAATCGGCATGACTTTATACTGGATTAGTAGTATTGAAGATGGGTACCATATTTTCAAAATCAACATCAAGTAATGTGATGGAGATTGTACACATAAAATATAGATCAAATGAAATCTCAAATATGCAATGTGCTAAAATGCAGATACTATTTCAGGACTCACATTTTCATAGAGGGCTTGCAGAGTTTCCAGGTCTACCACAGCGTTGTCCAGATTCAGGACAGCTGTTGGAGGGATAACATAGTTGTGAGAAGACATACCAGTAAGAAATACTAGATAAATGTATATCCATTTTACTTTTGAATGATTCGTGATATGATATGTCATGGTTATAAGAAACCATAAACTAAATCTGAATTTACTTGGACTAGTAGTTATAGAAGATGGAGGGACATCTACAAACTGAGGACAAAAAGACCCACCATGAACATGACATTTAATGCAGGTGTTTTGTTCAGTGGTATAAGCATTAAAGGATCAGAAGAGATATTAGATCTCTGAGACTCAGATTCTTTTAAAACTTTGACTTAAAAATGCTACATTATTGCTTTTAAAATATTGCTTATTGCCCCTATAAAACATTTTGTCTTCCCATTTTCCATTATTCATTTGTCCTATGCGGGGTCATAGGGGTCTGGAGGCTATGGAATAGAATAGTGATACTTTATTCATCCCTGTGGGGAAATTCTCTTTGCTTGGCTTTGTTCTCCATACAGCTGAGAGCAAGCTTGGAGGTCAGAGCAAGGGGGCAGCTTCAAGGCCAAGGACCTGTGACTGTTCTGCTGAGGCCAGGTTCACAACACCCCCTATTTTATTAAATAGAATAATAGTTGTTTTATTAGTCCACGTGGCACAAGGCAGAGAATAGCCCAGGACGGCATATTAAATATTAAAAGAATTTTTCCACAAAACATCACAGATACAAAAAAGAGGGCATTCCATTTATAAAGAGCTCAGCAAACCAGAAAATAACAATACAAAAGAAAAGGAAAGAAAATAAGTGTAATTCCTTTCGTGTCAGTATATAGATGCGTATAATTGATTTTAGCCTGGACTATGTGGAACACAAGAGACTTGGAGTTTTATCAATAATGTAATTTACACACTCACAAGTACATAGAGAAATGGTGCCATGGGCTTTAATAAAATATTGTATGTGAAGAGGTCTGCTGTTTAATTCCCAATAACTGGCGAAGAAGACTGAAATGATAGCGAAAGCTAATTTATTTTTGATTACAGGATATCTTATATTGAGTATGAAACATTGTAGGACTGCAGAGAAACATGTGCCAGAAACAAAGTATTTATATGCTAAAGTCATAAAAAGCAGGCAGACATGTTGTCTTCATGAAAATCTTCATTGAAATTAACGTGAAAGAATGAGACCCTAACAATTTACACCCAGCCCTTTTGATTCAGAGTTGTATGAACACAATATCAGAGCTACCAGTAATACTTAAAGGGATTTTGTAGAATTCAGAATGTGTAGTAATCCCCAATAACACTGACAGACTACTGATAACTTGTAATACTGGTGAATTCTTTGAGAACTGAAAAAAATGCTACTTTTTTATTGCATTTCTGTTTATAATTATGTAATGAGTGTTTCATTGAGTGCCCTGATAAGCAGCTTTAAACATAATATTCTTTGATGATTTTTGCTAGTACTGTGATATTTGCGAACCCGGGATAATGTTTAGATTACACTTCCACATCTATGTCCCTGTCTAGGTGCAAACGTCCCTTGGGACTGTTATCATCTTCTGCACCTTCATATAAAAGCTGGGATGCTTTGTTTGCCTCCATGTGGTTGTCCAGGGTAGGAGTCCCTGCAATCCATAGAGTGGAGCAGCATGAAAGACTGCCGACCAGTGGGTGAGTTAAAATATTGCAAGGGAGAGGGTGGGGATCTAAGGGGATGGCAGCAGGGGGAGGGCAATCACGATAAAATTTGTCAAGTGGGGGGCCAGGGATAAAATTTGATGAGCGAGGGATGTATTGCATAATTTGGATGCGTGTCCGGAAGTCCGTCAGCAGGGAACCCTGATATAATCGGAAGATTTACTTTTATGTGAATGAAACTGCACTGGACAATTTAGTGGGATGGTGAGGGGGTATATTTTCAAAGGGGGTGATTTTTGACATTTTTGCCACCAGTAGGATGGCATCCATGTGCATCCCATGACAACTTGAGCCCTGTTGACAGACCTGTCTTACACTTTGAAATCATATACTTGTCCTGGCTCTCAGGGTGACGATACACGGGCAACTTTTTGAGCAATGTTGCGGGCCAATGTTGCTCTGGCACTTTCCCATTGATATTGGGAAACATTTTTTTTTATTTGAAAAACCTTGGTAGTAGCAACTTTTCACAATCATCTAGATTCAAAGGAGCTGCCCCTTGTCTCACCTGGTTGGCAATTGCCCAGTAACATTGCCCAAAAAGTTGCCCTGTGTATCATCTCCTTTAAATTACATTTACTACTTAGTTTTCTTACACCAAAGTAAAGAAATGTGGTGTTTGATGTCCCTAAAGGTAACAGGAGCATTTACCCCGTCCTTATCTTTGCTATGTCTGCATATGTGTGCACCCCCAAACTTGGAATCAGGATTCAGCCATGTTCTATGTCTGTATTACAAATACTACTAGTCAAAGCAAAAATGGGCATACATTATAAATTGAAACCATTCAGTGAAATATTTCTGTCACAATTATCCCATTTGAAGTATAGCACACCTTTCAAAGGAGACAAACACTGGAGGCTAAACATTTCTTGTTCTAGAAAGAATACTTACAACTCAGAGTTAATCATCCAGACTTACAAGCAGAAGTGGAAGAAATTATTTAAAACAAAGAAAAAAACGCATCTAAATTTAAACTATGCTGTTCTTATAAAGGCTCATTGTAATAAATGTGTTTTGACTTCCAGTTGTAGTGTGAGTAGTTAAAGACACATGCAGGGGTTACCAAAGTATTTCAGGTAAAGATAAGTTTATAAAATCACTGTTATGTAATAAGTTCATACATTTACACAACGTGATTTTTATGTTCTTTTCAAAGCTCTTCAGTGACTGACTTTGGAAAAAGGCTGTAAAAATATTGGTGGCCAACCAATATCTCAGCAGGGTTTAGCTCTGCATGCCTTTAGCAGCACAACAGCAGTCAGCTGCTGTTAAAGCTTTGGATATCTGGCTCACTAATCCTGGAAAGCTCTAGATGTCAGACCTTGGGAGTGAAACAGAATCATAACTATGCATGCCTAATGTTATTTCACGCAAGTAATAGACCTGAAAATCTCCTCCATAAAACCTAATGAATTGAACTGCAATGAACTGTAGCACTTGTGTCTCAGTCTGAGTACAATGTGTACTTCTATAAATTATGACATTTTCATGGAAACTTTCAACTACAGATCCTGAAGTTCCTTGTAATATGCAATTGGATCATCTCATTAACCATCAGTATAAGTATATAGGTTTGCACCCATTTTGACACATCAGTACTGTTTATAGCCTAAAAGAATGAAAGAATTAGATGGCGTGTGGGAAATAGGGTTATTTACATTAAAAATGCACACAATCTCGTAGTTTTCCCCAGACTGCTTTTTACTTTAGTCTGGTAACTGCCGTATTTCAGTAGAGCTCCATTCTGCACAAGCACACGGTTCTTGTTATTAGCTCAGAGTCAAACATTCTACTGAGAGAAAGGACCATAACATTGTTTTCAGATTTCTGTCTACAACTTAACAGAGCTCCATCTGCCAGCTTCCATAATAATAAAATCACCCCTTGGCACCAGCGCCTCTCTCTAAAACTACAACTGAGAATGTTTGAGAAAGCTTCATGAAAACTCAATGCTTTGTAGCTTGAGTCCATTTTAAACAACATTTGGAGTAACTATGGAAATGCAATTAGAGAAAATGAAACCATAATCATTTTTTGTTTGCAAGTTACTCAGAACAATGCATTATTGTCATTAAGCCTTACATGCCAAGCTTGTTTCAGCAGATGTGCCCCATTGTAGTACGAAAATAGATTGGTGGAAATAATTTCTCAGTGTTGCTGGTTATTCCCAGCAACAATATGGTATGCACTGTTTACATAATTTGCATATTGATACATTTAATAGCAACAACTACAGCATTCTCTTTAGAAATTTTTCCCCAGTGATGACACCTCAATAATACCCTAATTTTAATCAGAAAAATGTAAATGTGAGAAATCGGTGAAGGCTATTTATATAATTTCAAAACAATTTTGAACCTATACACAGAAGTACCAGATCAACATAAACACATTGGGATGTCTAGTTTAGATAGATAGATAGATAGATAGATAGATAGACAGACAGACAGACAGACAGACAGACATAGAAATTTCTGTATAACAACTAAGCAGGTTCTAAAATTCATGTTGCCAGCACCATATTATAACTGTAATATAAACATTGTAAATTTCTCAAGAATTCGTTTAATGAAACCTAAGCCATAGCAGATGTGTGCAGTGTTCTGGTTGCACTGTGTCAATATGCATTATATTATTATTATCATTAGTGGTACCACAGAAACATTTATCACAAAATTACTGATGTCAGACATTTGGGGTTTGCATTTTAATACACAGTATAAGCTATCTAAACTATACAAAAATAAAATAAATTTAAAAAACAACCCGGTTTTATGCCAAAATATCAGTTCTTTACAAGAAAAATATAATAGAATAGATTTGAACTTGTTAGTTTGAAACTGAAATCGTTAATGATTTTTCACTTAGGGGAACCTGCATAAAATCTGAAATGGGTTAAAAATGCAACATTTGTCATGTAATAATGTTAGAAAATTAGCATAAAGAAATTAGTTGACCTGGAATTAGAAGATTGGCATAGATATGTTCGTGCTGAAATTTCTAACAGTAATATTTTCATTCCTAGAACATAAAAAAAAATCAAAAACAAACAAACGAACAGGCAAACTAACACAGAATCACAGGCTCTTTCATGATATATTGTGAGCTCATAGTATTAGAAGCAAAAATATAGCATGTGATAATGTATGAACTCAGCATAAAAGTGTATGGGAAATACACTTTGGAAGATTATTCTTACGAAATGCACCCCTTGCTGGGCACTGCAATCATATATTAGTTATTGATTAATGGTGGAATCTCTCTGGATAGTTTTGCTGCACTGTGTCAGTTTTTTTTTCTACTTCAGAGTTTGCTGAGTAGAAACAACAGTGTTAATACTGTGGCCATGCACAGCTAAAGCAGCAGCATGATCCAGTGTGAGATTTAGGATAAAATAAAAGGTGGATCCTCAGCAGGGCCTCCTGAAAGGTGACTGGGAGGAGAGACGTCTTTTCCATGAGTGCCACCCATATACTGTAAATGCTGGAGGAGACCCATTACTCACCGTGCCGGATGTCCTTCATGTCCAGGTGAAGGCTGGACATTAGAATCCCCACTGCTTGAGAACGCTTATTATTCAGTAATTTCACCACCTGGAAAATAATAGGAAGCAGTAACAATCAGGTTACAATCTTATAATTTCCATTTTATATATGTTTCATTTTGGCTCATATGTTTGAATAAAGATTTGTTTTTCCTTCTGAAAAGGTCTGGACTCTGAGCCTTTTAAAAAATAATTAACAGATAAATTAATAAGTAAATAAATGAATGAACTAGTGAATGAACAAACAAATAACTGAAAAGTGATAGAAGACTTTTTTATCTACTTGTCCAAAGGGGCATAAAATGCATTTACAATGCAGTGGTAAGAAAGTGCTACTACTACTATTATTATTATTATTTATATTATTATTATTATGTACAAAATGTCTCATTTCTCCATAAAATGCAGAAGAGAGATTTCTACTCACATTCTTATTTGAGAAAAATAGTAACAATGAGATACAATATTTCTTGATATTCACAGTCTCTGTTTTGTATAACCATGTAAAATTAACATTAATTTTTTTACATATCATTAAATTTTAACTCAATGTTCTTGGAACTGTCAGTCATCTGATGATGTTGTTGTACAAAGTTCCGCAGCCACTGCTGATATCTAGCTTCGCAGTCCGGGGACGACTGTATCTCCTCACCACAGGGGTCTAGCAACAGTAGTCTTACTGAATTCAAATCTGGCTGCTCTGATTTATTTTGTCTTATTTTTGTCTGTGGTTCCCATATCTCCAATATGCTTTGTTGTAACACTTAGCTCCAGTTTGTATATAGCCAGACCACCCAAGCCCACCAAGACTGCCGTTCCTTGACATAAACATTTTCACATCACTTTCTCATCCCTCTTGGCCACCCTTCATTGGCTACCAGTGGAAGTCTGGGTTATGAAGAAAACCATGCTATCCAGCTGCCAATAGAACAGCTGGAATCACATCTGGCTGCCAGTAAAAATGTTTGTTTTTTGAGTGGGTATGCTTAAGAAAAGCCCATAAACCTTAAAATCTTAGTGTAGCTTGAAAAAATCAAAGAAAGCCCTTAGGTGCAATTACAGAATACTTCCAGTGTTTTCCCACATTTTTGTGATGTTGTGATAAAAATGTAATTTATGAAAATAACTTTTAGGATGTGTCCAGATCAATCCTTATTCCTCCTTAGCATCTGCTGAATCTACAGTACTATCAGTTTTGAATGGTAAAAACAAATGTACTCAGTTTGAATTCAAAGAATTCTACAGGAAAGAAAATGCCTGATGAAAGCTTTTGCACTTGCCTGAATCAGCAGTGCATTACAATAATTCTTTGAAATTTTCACATAGAAGACAGAACAATCAGAGCGACTGATCAAAAATGGAATAAAAGACAATGCTGAAAGGTGAAAGGTTTTTCTTATGGCTTATAAGGTCCTACAAACTATGAAATAATTACTAAACAAAACCAAGTCCGAAATTTACACAGCTCACATAGATAACATATTTTAGGATGATTGTTTAGATGAAAGGCCATATGTGTAAAAAAATAAAATCAAAGGGAATGCATCAGAACTTGTCAGAAATAAAAAAATATGTTTCTCGTTGACCAACAGTAAATCTGAAATCATGTGATGTCTGTTTTCAGGTTTGTATAAATTTGGCAGCATCCTGCCCCCTAAACACAAAGAAGAGTGTTATCTTGACATTTCCATGACTTCATATTTTGGCACAGCGGGCAAATCCAGTACAGCCCATACAACTTAGACCGACAAACCAGTGACATTTGTACTCCCATCACTGACAGTTTTTCTTATAAAATATTTTGGACGATGTAATGAAATATGTAATAACGTAAAAAAGATGCCACTGGATTTTTTTTATCTGGGATATTATGTATCGATCTGTGCAGAGGTACTGTGCACTCATTCTAAAGTTGCTTAGGAGCTTCATAAAATGAAACCTTACATTTGAACCATATAAAAATCTTATTGCTTTATTTTCAATCAAAGCTGTAAACTTTCTTCGCTCCTGGTTCCAGGTTATTCGACTTGCAAAAAAATTAGTCCTGCCCAAACTTTAGCTTAACACAGAGATCACAATATACAAAGACAGTTAATATATGGGTAAGAGATTTTGTGTTAATGGGTACATCTGTTTAGCTATGCAGTAGAGTTTGACATAACATTTGCAAGTCAGGGTCATTTTCAGACTTAATTTAGACTACTCACTCTTTACATTGGATTAGAAAAAACCCTTTTGATTAATAAATATCAGTAATATTGCTATACTGATAAATGAGATGCATAAGTACCTACATATGAGAATTAACTTGTAGGCACCCAGTAATAAAACGATGAGGATAGGGATGCTAAATCAGTCCCCTTAGATAAACGATACATAACTAATAAAGTATTACAAAGAGGGTGCACTTACTAAGAAAAAAGTATCTGCAATTTGTTCATCTTAAAATATCTTAAAATGAATAGCAGCAACAAAAGTAAAGAATATATTTGCAGTACGAGTAATCCCCTAACCATTAGCTGTCCGATGCTCAATATACTGCCCCATGCACCTTGAAATGCATCTTAAAACTTCGAAAACTTGACAGAGATTAGAAATGTTTATATCTAAGTTACAGTTTGTTACCCCGTTCCTTTCATCACTACCATCTTCCTAAGATACACAAGATCAGCATGATGTACTGGTTGGACAGTTCAGTCATTACAGGCCACATCAGCCACATGCTTCCCACCTTGAGATCATGCCAAACCGCAGTTCACCCACTGCATGAGAGACTCCTCGCTTTATTGCTCCCAGCAGAAACACGGCTAAAACTCATTCCGTGTATCACAGCCTTATGTGATGCGCAATGGATGGGTAGAAGCAAACAAGGTCAGGATGGAAATGTAAAATGATCAATGTATACTGCCATTGGAGTGGCGGAATGGGACTTCAGCACAGTTGAAGAAAAATCGAACAGACATAATTGTTTCCAAGCTTGGAATGTTTATAGTTTCCATTAGAAAGCTGTGTAAACCTCAAAGGCATTCCATATGCTGCTGTCAGGTCGGGTAATTGTCATTTTCCTTTTACATATCATTCAGCATATGTCATCTGCTGATTCTAAAAAAAAATAGACTTATTTTAGACTTATCCAAGACATTTTTGGATATATTCCTTCATCTTGCAGCCGCTTATTCTGGTCAGGGTCACTGGGGGCCTACGGCCTATCCCAGGCAGCACGGGACACACTGCAGGGGACACTGCAGGGCACACTGCAGGGGACACTGCATGGCCTGTCAGTCCACTGCAGGACACATACGCAATTATAACACTATAGCTAATTTAATTTAATGTGAAATATTTGACTCTGTGCAATATTTAACTATGCAATATTTTGACTCGGTGCAAATTTTAACTTTGAGCACTATTTACTTTGCACGAGATTTACCTCTGTGCTGAATAGTAGTCTCCGTGTAGTTCTGTGTTATATTGTGTGTATTGTGTGTAGCCTGTAGTATTTTTGTTTGTTTTGCACATTGAGCCAGGAGAAACGCAATTTCGTTCTACCATGCACTCTCAAACTGTGTGGTCCGAATGACTATAAAGTTTACTTAGACTTTGACTAATGATGAAGCACAAACAACATTCAGCCGCATGCTAATATCTTTTAATATGTTACTCTATATGGTAAAACTGCTAAAATAATTATGCACGTTAAATGAAAGACTGTGATTAAAAGGTTATGGTCATTACAATGGCTTACCTGTTTAGCCTTTGATTTAGTGATCGTATCGGACAATGGCTTTTTCTTTTCTTTCACAGCAGATTTTGAAAATAGATTGACAAATTCGTCAAAGTCCACTGATAGCTCCTCTATATTTTCCCACACCAATGATCCATTCGATTCTCTTTGAAAATAATAAGATAAAGACCCAACATCAATGCACGATTTTGCATGCAAATATAATACGAATCAATTATAGGCTAATGGATAAAATACTGATAAAGTGCACTGCATAATACCTTAATGACATATTCATTAGGTATATCTAATATATAAAATGTTTATAAATCATCAATTTCATTTATTGTACCAGTTTAATGTGCTAATGTAAAAACTGTACATATCAAACATTTAGAAATATTGTTTCAAACAGCTAAATACATTGTCTCCATTTGTCATATAATTGTACAATTCTTCTTATATTTGTAATAAATAATTGTATGATTAAGGGTATTATAACTGTATTAAAGAAAAATTAACCCCCGAAAGTATGGTGAAATGACATATTAAAATATTAAATAAAAACATGCAATGAAATTACCTTTTAGCATGCAATTGTATCCTGTTCCAGTATAAGGGTTTCATGGGGTGTGGTGGTTCAATCACTGCTTTTTCTTGTGCCAATCCAGGGACACAGTCCTTTGGCAAAGGGGGTGGAAGAGAACCAAGGCCACCACGATCTGGTTGAAGTGGCGGTGGTGGTGGTGGTCCTACACCAGGAAGTGGCGGTGGGGGTGGAGGTCCTGCACCAGGAAGTGGCGGAGGGGGTGGTGGTCCTACACCAGGAAGTGGCGGTGGGGGTGGAGGTCCTGCACCAGGAAGTGGCGGAGGGGGTGGTGGTCCTACACCAGGAAGTGG